AAGTATAAAATCACTCCTCTCATAAAATCATGTAGTAGACAATGGAAGTAATGTATCATTTTTATTGAAACTTCTACTTCATACTACAGTAGTTTTAGTGCATACAGTATTATTTGCAAAGCTGCCTGACACATCTGCCTGGAATCATGGTGAGCTGGGAAATGTCAGTGACAAAGAGAGTGCATCACATGAAGATGAATTGAGGGAGTCCATAAAGAACACAGGCTGATGGCATCAGAGTCATTCTATGGTGAACATCATCTTCCTTTGAGTCAGTGAGGAGCACTGTATCTGCAGAGGAAACCAGGGACAGCTGTAATTACTGTTCTATACCTGAGAGATATATTGAAACTCGGCATTGCTGGATTCAAAACTCTGAGAATTCCTCTTGATGTTTTCCTCTTTGCAAAGAAACCCATTCTCATTCACAGAGAAAGAGAGAAGTGTGGGTGTCTGTGATGTACTACGGTCAGATATACAGTCCAGTACCCTGTGATCCTGTGTCCATGCAATGAGAAATGTGTCCTTGCAATGTGAACTGTTCCTTCTCCTCAAAGTATGGATGGTCTGACCTGAGGTCTGTCTCACCCTCAGTAGATCTGCACCACATGGTGACACAGGCATCAAGTAAAGGTTTAAAGACATTCAAGTACAGTGATAAATTAGAGACTGCATTCAAACTTACTATCTAGAGCAGTGGCCATGTTGTGTGTGTTCTGTTGAAGACTGCTGTTCCACTGATTGAGGACAACACAGCCGACACCACACAAACTCACCAGCAAAGCCGTCTCTAGGGGTTTCTCCAGGGCAAAATGTCCTCCACTGAAAAGGAGAGAAAACAGTGAGATTATGAGAGAGAGGAAGAGGTGACACCAAAACACTGCCAGGCACAAAAACATCAGTCACTCCAGTAAAGAGAATGAACAAAGACATTAGGAGTGTAAGAGAAGAAAGAGGATGAGTTAGATGAAATGTGTTTAAATTCAGTTAGAGCTTCATTCAATTAATCTGTTTTGTTACCTCTTGTGTGTGTCAAGGATTGAGTGGCGGAGAATGCTGCTGTTGTTCTGAAGCTGTTCAAAGAGCAGAGCGATCCGACACGCTGAGGAGAAAACATCATTATCAAGCAGCAGAACATAATAAAGCTTTTAATGGAAGCAAACTATTCATCAACAGCCAAACAAAAATAAAACAAACTCCAAAACCAATTTATTTGTTGATTGGTCTACATGTTTGTTAGTAAGATTAAAAACTACAGGGCAGACCATAATGAATCTTAGCGACAGGATGTGGTGTGGGTTCACACAATTTCAATTTGGCGAAGATCCACATCAGGGGCTGGATCTAGGAGTTTTTTATCACTTTCTTTTACATTGTGAGATCATGGATTTCAATTATCTCCCAGGGAATAATTCATGGAACTTGATGAGAAGAATCCAATGTGTGTGAAATTTGGTGGAGCTTGATTGAATGTAAGGGGACTGTTGGGCCTTGGCAGAGGTATTGGCTCTACTGAGTGACATCCATGAAAAGGCCACATAATGACTCACGACTTTATTATAGCACTAAACAACTAATTTGTTAGGATGCATTGTAAACAGATACACTCCAGCTGCTTCTCCAGTAGTGTTTGTTGTTGGACTACACTGACAATTACCACAAGTAATAACAGGCGCTGCCAAATTAACCTGGACTGATAGATTCAAACTTTCCATTCCACTAATCCATAACTCTTCTTTCCTAAAACACGGTGGATCAGCTGTGTGTTGTCTCAAACCTTTAAATTTTACTAGTGCAGCGCTCTTTAAGCTGGTGTGCGACCTCTAATGATGTCATCACATTGTGCATGATGTATGAGAGGGTAAGAGTGGTCTTCTGGTTTTATTTAATTGTCTTCTCCATCAAAGCGACATCTGGAGTGTTACTCTGGCTAGAAAAACAGGACATGATATGTAACTCAATTATTCAGTAAAAATGACATATTTGCCATGTGCCTTCAGTAGATCAGATGAAGCTTTCAGTGTACTTCGAACAAAAAGAGAAGAATCCTGGTAAATCTTGCCAAAGAGGCTTTTAGCATTGTCAAGCACAAAATACTGTTACTTCAACACAATTCATCCACGTACGAGCACACAGACAGGCTTTTACTGAACAAGCACTTGGACTGGACCACTGGCTGTGGATAAACTTTGTGATACTTGTGTCTGACACCAGGTGTATGTAAGTCAGGACATCCACTGTCCACTAACTTCTCTACTGCAGTAAGGCTGTCCAGTGCCATGCAGCTGTTCTAGCCGTCTTGCTATTCAAAGACAATTCTCTGTGTGTGTGTGTGTGTGTGTGTGTGTGTGTGTGTGTGTAGCGAGACACAGCTCAGGGCTCAGAGCTAGAACAGCAGTAAGCTCTGATTAGGCTTGGGTACAGGGCCGGTACCTACCAGACCAAGATCACTCACTAAGATATATCATCCTACATTGTGCTTCCAGCAGAGAGAAGAGAGGAAAGAGGGCAGCAGGAACAGCCCAACCTGTCGTACAAATGTAAATACAAGCAGAGCAGCGCATCAAGATGAGCTCACTCTATAATCCTCACAGAAGTCTCTATATAGGGAAGTATAGGGTTAGTGAATGAGTGTGTGATTTTGGACACAGCTTAAAGCTAATGGTCCAAAGTAAATTGTCTGTATTTAAAGTGTGTCTGGGACGTGACGTGCAGCAAATGTCAAATTCTGTGTGAAGGCAGGAACACGACAAACTTGATTGCACACAGATGCATTGTGTTTGACTGTTTGCGTGACATCCCAAGCACATCAGCCAGCAGTGTGGACGTCCCTGGCTCCAGCAGTGGGGGGGACTCGGGGGGGCAATTGATGACAGGTTGGGAGCTGGAGAATTTTGCAGTATTAAGCACTGACACTGTTGGTTTGGACTGTATTTAGTTGATTTTGTTATGTGAATATGTGAAGAGTTTTACACATATTTAGATTTGTTTATTAGAGTTAAATATATTTTTAACTGTTACCAGCCAATGTATTAAGTTTGCAATAGCAATAAAAAGTGAGCATGGTTTTGTCAATTTTTTTCATAGGAAAGTTCTGGCACCATTTCGGTACGATAAATGTATCAGTGTAGAGCCGGTATTGGAGAAAACCCAAACGAAACCCAACACCTTCACACATGAGGCTGCTGTATGTGCAGGTATTGTCAAATCAGTGTTATGTTCATTTGGCTTTGTCCTCCAAGAGTCATGTTAAAAAACAAACACTCCTATAAATACTCGTAATACCTAAACAAGACAAAGATAAGAGTGCAGATGGTGCAACATGTACTGAATGACACCTTTTTTTTCTCAGAAACACAAATCTGCCATCGTCTAATCATATCTTGGTGGCCAATTAAGTAGGAACAGTGCAGACCCTGCTGTCAGTCACACTATAGTTAGCAGCAATAACGGCAGGCTAGTGGGTGCCACATATGTCTGGCCTGGGGCGATGTGTGAGGCCAGTCTGACACTATCACTCACATTGGAGAGTCCATCCCTTTGTCTGCTGGTGAAGGAGAAGAAAGGAGCACTGAAGATGAGGCCATAGTTGTTTTGTGAAATACCTTTTTTGAAGGCGTATAGAGCTCAAAGGCGATTTGAGGTGGGTTATTGTTTATTTAGAGAGTAGAAGGCAAAAGGCCTTGTCTAAAGAAGAGGGGGAGATGGGTTGAGAGTCTTCTTGTCCACTGACTGTAAATAAATTACAACGTTCAGGAGTTCTTTTATGAATCCAAGTGAACATATATTTATTTATCAACTGACTCTGGGTTCAAATGATTCAGCAAATATCTGTCTTGAGCATTATGAAAAGCATGTGTAGGTAACACTGTGTAAATGTATTATGTGAGAAATAAATACTGTTGCAATTCAGTCAGACTTCAACTGCTTTTCCTGCTCAATTATTAAAATACACAATCATTAGTCCTAATTGGAAATGCTCAGATAACTGATTTTCACAGGTGAAGTTGTGGAAAACTTTCAGCAAGGATTTGAAAGTAAAACCTCATTGATTCCAAGCAGCAAAACAGGGCATTTCTAAATATACCACTCATCAAATGAAAGATTGATGTGTTTGAGGAGATTAAGTCTACTGCCCCATTTAGTGCTTACATAATCACAGCTCTGCTCCCAATTCATTCATCACACTATTTTGCCAATTACCAATTTTCTTCCTCTGTAACTGTTTCAAATGTTTGAGAAAACACAAGATGTTGTATGATTTCATTCAAGTGTAAAGAGACAACTTTTCAACTTTCTCTAGTGTTTAAAAGTGGTATTACCACTGGCCCTGATATCGCAAAGCTCGGATTGTTTTCCATCAGTTCTGGTAAAGGGAGAGTAACACTGAGGCTTACTGATCTAGTAGAAATAATGCCAACTGAATGTCACTTTGAACCCTCCTCAATATCTCCATATATCCTTTTGTTTCTATCACTCTTGCCCTTTGACTTCTCCTACAACAAAGCTCTTTTTCTGTTGCAGGGTGAAGTTTCCACAGTTGGATCAATCGTGCCGTCGCCCGTCAAATCCTCCATCTGGGCAAAGCTACAGACAGCTAGTGGGAAAGCTCTATCCTCTTTCTGTTTGTTTGTGCAATGTCTGTGTTACACAGTGAAGCAAGGTTTAATAGGACCCAATATAAATGTTGATGGTGACATTATTCGACACACATTACATTAAAGAAATCAACATTTATTTTATAAATTTTAGTTTTCTGTCAGTCTCATCATATTGAATTAATATTAATTATTTTTGTTTATAGAGGGTCTCCATGCAGTGACAGATGCCATGCGTCCTGAGCTATTCACATTTTAAATTTTAAAATGCTTTTTTTATGATGTTACGTGTGAATAAACTGAAACAGAAAGTATCAGACCTATGCAACATGTTTCTGTCCATATTAATATTGATGTGTCCTTTCTTTAATTTCACTAACCCTAATTCACAAAAAAAAGTTCTCAGGTCCTCTCATAGAGAAATGCAGTGCACATGTGTACAGTACCAGATAGATTGAGGGCTGCTAGTTTGGCAGGTGGAATGTTCGCCATGAAGCGCTCCTTTCCGAGGTAAATGAAGGCACTGCTCTTGCACAGCAGCTGCTCCATCTCAGACAGACTTGAAAGATATGAGAGAGATGGCAGAGCAAAAGAGATCAGGCGAACTGAAGAGTAACAAGATGGACATGTTGCATCGATTTGCAACATGAGTTAAAGGTTCTGTGCTTAAAGGTTCTAACCTGGGCGTTTGCTTGCTGCCCATGAAGCCCTCCCACAGATGGGTGAAATTCTTGCTGTGGGTTTCCAATATGTCCTTCATCCTTGTGCTCAGACTGGTCCCATCTGTTCCACATACAGACAACATACACAAAACTACAACTTGCGAAAGGTGATAAAAAATGTTTTTTTTTGTAAAATAGAACATTGTAAATGAAGGATGCTCTAAAAGGCTAGATGCTGAGAGGATCAAATAAAGGGCCATTTGGCTGCTATTCAACATAAAGAGAGTATTCATCACTTCAAGAGGGTGCACTGCACTAGTAACACTTTGGTACAGTGCACACCACCCAGGTAGACACTGACATAAAAGCATCGTGAACTATACTGCTATACAATGGATCATAAGCAACAACCAAATATATCTTCCACAAAGCACTATATTTCCATCCAATTCAGTAAGTACAGTAAAGTGTGTATGTAACCTCTTTCCATTGGATTACATTTACTTACCAACGTTACCCACATCGTCAGGGTCGACAATATCTGTAGAGGTGTGTTATTAATAACTTAAAAGAGTGTCTCCCTGTTCTACAGTCTACAACTGCAAGTCTCAGTCTGTCTGTGTGCGGAACACGAACCATTCATCTTATTTACTTCACACTTGTCATGTGATTTGTAAATTCCTCAAGAAAAAGCAGTGCTGAGTTCTGTGCAAATGATCATCATTTTATTCATCACGTCAACAACATTCATAGAATTGCTCTCTCTTTAGCACATTGCCTAGAAAGCATAAGCACACTGTTCATTTTGTTGCTTAATTAAAAGTTAATTTTAAAGTAGCTCTGGAGCATTAACACAGCAGAAACAGCCTATTCCAAACAGGAAGGTTTAGAACCCGGACTGCACAAGTCAATCAGAATTAGACATAATATTTAACAAGACACTTTTAAACACCTCCTCAAAAAAGATACATTTCAAGTTGCGTGTGTCGACAGGGAAGGTGTCTGAAGGTGAGGCCTGATTGGCAGGTATCTGGGTAAATTATGTTAATACAAATGAGTAGTTAGCTAAGAACATGTATACACACTTGCTAATATTGATTCTAGGACGTGTACATCTTCAAATACCAGTTAGCAGAGAGAATATAAATATGGATTTTTTTCGACTGAGGAGACAGCAAGAGCGATGGAAGCAAAGAGGGGAGGGGTAACGGAGAAAATAGAAGTGATGCATGACAGAGGATAACTGCTCGGAAGCTAGAAATAGCATCTTTATGAAAACACATCATGTAATTGATTGAAAAACCACACTTAAAAGAGAGGCGAGAGGAATTCAAATAACTGCCTATGCTGATAGCAGGTAAAAGTAATATTGCTGTCTGTATCTGGGAAGCCCAGATTAATTTACTGAATTTACCACTCTGATGCTTTGGCTTTGATCCCCCCTCCCCTTAGTTCCTTTGCCACCTTTGGTCTCCTTTTTGTTGTCAACTGCCATAAACAGGAAGCAGAATTAATATGTACACACGTGTCCACTTGGGGGGTGAGAAGTAATGAAAATGGAAAGAGAAGTTAGGAGATAGGTGGAGCAGTAAGGAAGAAGAGGCAGATGCAGTGGATGGCGGTAATGCACCTTGACGTTGGTGCCACCCACCAAGGAACTGAAAAAAAGAAAAGAAGAAGAATATGTACACATACACTTACACACACACACATACGGTGGAGATTATGCAGTGTTTGGACTGGGAGAAGGGACATAATGTAAAGCATCTATTTAGATCATTCGATATCTAGCAGGTATTTTAAGTTTCCTGTAGATGAACGGAAGAAAAAAATGCTGATCACCAGCAGATCCCCAATTTCCCCATGACAATTTTATTTCTCCGAAAAAAGAGATGTCAAACATCAATAACTGAATTTCAGTACTACTTGAGTATAAAGCTCCATAGATTTTTCTAGGAGCCAATATTAAGAAATTCTGATACCGATATGTCAGTCTACATGTTGAATTAAAACTTTTCATACCAGTGCATACTGGAAAACATAAACACAGATAGCAATCTGTGGAAGGCTCATGTCAGCCAAATAATTCATCTGCTGGGCTCTAGTTGAGTTTCTATATGAGACAGTATTTTCTTGCCACCATGGTTTGTGAAGCCATATTTGCGGAAATTGTCCATATTCTAGATGCTAACACTGCATGTTAAAACATTTTTCAAGAAGGATCAACAGGACAGCAAACGGAATAGACGGTCATGCAAAGGAAAACATATCCAACCTGCAGGCAGTCTTTTTATAGTTTGTGCTAATTTGTCGTGTGCATACCACATGCCAAGCTCTGCACAGAATAACAAATAGCCCTTTCAAAAGTGCTTTCGGGCACTATATCTTCTTGACACAATGCTAAACTGTAGATGTCAAAATTATGGTAATGATATTCCAGAAAAAGTTCACTTTTATTCTGGTCTCTGTCACCCACACGTGTTCCACGTATTGAAAGATGTAAAATACATGCTTGTGTACTTTGCTATCTGTGACACACACACACACACACACACACAAAGTTTAAATGTAACCTTTGAACATTCACTCAACTTATGCAAATGTTTCAACCTTTAAAAAGTTAAAGCTATCTGCAGCATCAGCTCCGATGCTCTTTTTGCCCCATTTTCTCTTCCCTCCAAAAATATTCATGAGAATAATTCTCCTAAGAACTGAAGCATCATCACTACAAAACAGGATTTTTTTTCCTTGGGATTCTACGCTCATTATGGACCAAATAAATCCCTGAGAGACTGCAGAAGGACACAGTGTGAGGGGTAATGTAAATTAAACAAGAGGCTCAGCCTTCTCTGTTTTTCCTGTTACAACCCCAAAAAAGACTTCTTCATTGATTTCTATTCAAAAATCTGTCTGTTTGTATCCTTCATCAACAAAATACTGATAAACTAGTTTACACAAATGCTGCAAAAAACAAATACAGCATGTAAAATAAAGAATAAGCACAAAGTGCGGTAAAATACAGCTTAAAAGTTCTCTGGCTAATTTGTGTGACCAAAACTGAATGAAGAAAAAGTTGTTAAATTTCTGTTTTCCCCACTGTTCTTTTGGTTTATTGGTTTGATTTTCGGCAGGATTATGCAAAATCTACTGAATAGACTTCCACAAAATTTGGTGGAGGGATGGGACATGGACCAAGAAAGGATTACATTTTACCGTGGATCCAAACAAAGGGCCAGATTCATGAATATTTGATCACTTTCTTAAACATTGCATTTTTGGACATTTTAAACAATGTTCCAGTGGATAACACACGGATCAGACTGTTGGAGTCCCATTTTAATTAAGTTTGCATACTGCTGTTTATATTAACCAACTCTTCTGACTGCTTATTTTATATCTTAATCACAACATTGGGCAGTAATTGTGAAAAATTAAGTCTAAAACTATACAAAGAATTATTCTTCCAAAAATACACAGATTATCATACAGGCTATTCTGATCAGTGTAAGACTGTAGTTATTTCAAGTAAGCAGTAGTTTATGCTGTACTTCCAGAAGGTATTGTTCAAACAGCATCTGTGCACTGAGGTAGTTTAGCTTTGTTCTTGTGCTTCTCAACCCTACTATGCACCTGATCGTAGAGTGGGAACTCTGGGCTACAACACTCTCACTCCACTGGTCTCTGTTGAAGCACTAAATAAATGTGTGGGGGAAAACATGTAGAAGCATTGTAGACCATTCAAGAACCATTTTAGAATAGCAGGCTTTGGCATTCTTGGATATCTGCATGAACTTCCACACGCCACCAAGATGTGAAATGACCCTTCTCTCTGGAACAAATTCCACTTCTATGGATGGCTGCCTGCAGTCTAAATCCTGGTGTCAGGATGCTTTCATGAGTGTAAACCATTATTTACTTGATTGTGATAAAGAATTATGTGAAGCAAACATGCATTAAGCCAAAAAAACCCCCTCAAATTATTAATAGTTGATGGATAAGACAGTTATACGGCATTCTCCTTTTCCCCCTTCATCAAACTCTATCTCTGTCATGTGGTTGGCCACATTAAAAACAAATCTGAAATGCAGTGTGTGACAATATTTTCAATGCATAGTAAAGGCTTACTTCTGGAGAAACTGGTGACAGCTGTATTTATTCCTACTTAATGTGGCTTTCACAGTGATCGGACAAAACATTTATCAAGATATTTATTTATCTTAGATTTAAAAAGAAATAACAGGAAATAGGTAATCATAGGTCCACAAGAAAAAAAATCAGCATACCCAAATGAACTCTGTCTTTTGAAGTGTCGATATGGGTCCACACCACAGTGTTAATTTAACTCTTTTTGGAGAGTTAGAGCCATAATACTAATTTAGTATAATTATTGACTCTTTTTGGACTCTTTTTTCCCAATCCAACCAGAGTTCGTTTTTCTCAACACTTGTATAGTTTTAAATACTGTAGGAGTAAAGATACTTCTTCCCAATTACTGAAATAAAGAGGCCACGTTCGGGTAAAACACATTTATTTATGAAACATGCACCACACTGACGTTTTAAAACATCATTTAAAACATATAATATAAGGAACAATATATGCACATATACATATATATGTATTTTTGGACTCCATACACTCCATCCTGACGCCATATTCCTCCTTTCCCAGCATCTTCTGTGAAGAAAGATGAGTGAGGGTAGCCTCCTGTACGATTTAATTGAAGTAAATGCTGGAGATAAACCTGCAGCTCCGCCGCCAAAAGACAACCGACACACAGCTGATCTGCGGCGCAACACAATGCTAACAGACAGTAGGTTCCTCATGTACTTACCGAACAGTGGGAAGTTCAATCCAAATCACTTTGTACGAGTCGTGGATGCTCTCTGACTCTGCTTCACTCTGTGTTTCTGAGTGTCCGATGATGTTGCCGGGGTTAATTTACTGGAATTCACTCCTGGGGTGTCACACAGCAAGTTCAGAGTTAATACAGTTACACTTAGAGACTTGATTTACAGACACAGAGTTATATATAAGAGTTTTGACTCTGTCCAGATTATAATTAACTCCACTTTTGCTCAAATTTGACCAACACAGAAAATATAACTTAAATCTTGAGTAAAACCTTCTTTGAGTTGAAAGAAGAAAGACAGTGTGTAAGTTTGATATGTAACTATTATATTTGTGTTATTAAAAACAGATTAGCATTGTATTTGTGTTTGATTATAGCTGTAATAACATGCTGAGCCAGAATTCTCCTAATGGCTTCAGACCTGCCTGAAATAATATGCCTGTCAGTCAGTCATTTGCACTTCCATGTGCTGCTTAAAGTACTGCAACGCACTTATTATGCAAGTACGTGTGTCTGTGTGCACCTTTGTGTGTTCACTACACGCTGTCGAGCCAAATGCATATTTAATAGCTACAGTGAAACACACACAAGACTAACAAATGCCACTTTTGCAACTTCAGAGTCACATCTATTGATTGATGACAGTAGTAGTACAAATGATCCTCAACTTTAACATAAAAATGTCGAGTATTTTCTGTAGTTGGTTCTGTCTGTGTCTATGGACAGTATAAATTCCCAGTATAATGAAATGAATTCAACAACTAGAATGGCACTCAGTCCGAGTACATACCTCTGCCAAGGCCCAGCAGTCACCTTGTGACACCACATATAAATTCACTGGATCCAGATGTTTATTTGGATCTGCACCAAATTACACACACCCATTGATATCACCCACCTGAACCTGATCCGAGAGAGACTAATAAAAATGTTGAAAAACACCCTTACTCTCAAAGTGTCAAAGAAACTGACAAGAAAATTCTGGATCCATCCCGTGATCTGGATCTACACCAAACTGAACGGGTTCTGTCCTGACCCATACCACATGTTTTCCTGGTAATCCATCCAGTAGTTTTTGCGTAACCCTGCTAACTAACAGCCAGCCAGATAAACGAAGATGAAAACATAATCTCCTTGGTGGAGGCAAATATCAAGATCTGCAGACTTAGAACACTACACTTATTGCTCTATGGTCTTAAATGTGTATATTCATTGGGGTGGTTAGGAGACCGCAGGTAACCCTTGTAAACACTTAATGTTTGATGTAAAAATAATGTAAAAATGATGTGTGTGTCTTTGGCACCTTTCTCTTGTTCTTCTCTGTTCAGTCGACTGTGGAGAAGCTGCAGGGAAAAGCCTCGTGACACAGAGCTCAAGCCTTCCTCCTGCAGGATGGACAAGGATTCCAGTGGCAACTCCAGCAACTTACTGTCGGCCAGCAACACCACGCACTCCCCTGATTCTGTCGGTAGTTTAGCTGCATCTACACACATACATAGAAAAGCCAATGTATTTTCACATGTTGTGTATATTATGACAGTGTAACTATTATTTAGATTCGAATGTTTAAGATCTGTGCTACGACAACAACAACCTTTAACATTGGTCCACTTATAAAGTCCAACTATTTGGACTGTAATCAAACAGTTTACAGGAAGAATTATTACCTTTACGCCCATTAAAATGATTGAGCTATCATGTTCGCTCAAGCTATCATCTGTGTTAGTGAGCATTTATAACATAAAAGCATATGGACAACATCAACATTGGCTTTAGACAGGATGAGCTGTGGCCTGCTTGAATAGAAACCTGCTGATGAGCAGCCAGAGTCACAGCGGATGTTGGAATAGTGGTTCATGTAATTCACTAAAAAGATAACGACAAAGACACTGACACATGCAAGCCCACGCCCACCATGCTCTTCCCTTACCTGAGCTCCTCTTTTCGTCTTTATCTTTGGATTGGTTCGTTTCAAGACATGAAGGCACTGATGCATCCTGGAGCCTGAGGCAGATAAGGACAGGTGAGGGTCAGTAGGACTATAATGCCTAATGTCTGACAAGAACACAAGATACAGCCAGATTGTGTAAGATGTGACTATGTGCAAGAAATGTAGACATCCAGCACTCGCTGTGTAAGCTTGCTGCATGTGGTTGTTGTGAATGTAGAGAGCGGGACACATTAATAAAACCAGTTTCACATGAACACGCACAGATGTTTGTCACAGTGGACATTTGTACCTGATAAAAAACAAGTGTAACTGTAGTCATTCATAATGGCTCTGCCCTATTTAGGTCTACCAGTAAAAGAGATAGAGTTATAGTTTATAATTACATTATATACAGTATTAAGATTTTATGAATATGTCTTAAGTATAATTCATCTGCAGTTGTCCAGCATGGAGACAGCTCACATTCAAAGTAAACGTTTCAGTTTAGGTTTTACCAAGGCTTTTTCTGTCCAACAGGCGGCAGAACAACATAAAATAGCTTACTGAATCCAGTGTTTGTGCCCACTGGCAATTTACCCACAATATGTTTTGGAAAGAGAGATAGTTATGAATCAGTTATTATATTCATGATTTGGGCTACCTGTTAATTTATTCAGTTAAGTAAAACTGACAAAACCTTTAACTTGAGGGTGAGCTGTCCCTGTTTCCCTCTCTCAATTTCCTGGTTCATTTTTCATTCGATAAGTTGGATAAATGAACAAGTTGTCGGCGTTGCACGGAATTGCATTATACGTCTGCAATCATTCGGTACAACAGACTATGAAATGGATGAATTATACTTCATCATGAGATTCAGACTAGTTAATTTGTTCATTATCTTAAGTTTCACCACTCAGAAAATGAAAGAAACCTTATTGAGTCTTTGCAGTGGACAAAAGGGGAATGTGAGTACTTCACCTTAAACAAGAATCAAACTGTGCGAGCAGTGGTTTCAAATAATCCTCCATATCTTGTAAAACTTTGCAGAAGTGAGGTGCCAACTTTTCGTCACTAGCAGTTTTCTATTAAAGGGGAAAAAACAGATGGAAAAATACTTTTCAATCACTGTCATGTATTAATAATTGTTTCTGGCCACTCATTACATTCACACACACATTTCTTTTGGCTACACAATGTCTGGATGTAATCGTCTGCTGACCTTTGTCTCCAGAGTAAGAAGAAACGTTGATTGAGTTGATAATGATTGCAGTGGAAAGAGCTTATCTATCAGGCTTACAGTAGATAATGTGTAAAAAAATAAATTACAGAAAAATAGCATGGATCTCAAAAAGACGTACCAGAGGAATGAGGTGATGCTTCTCAGAGGCCTCCCATCTGCCCTCAGCAGCGTGCCAACAGGCTTCCTTCAGGAGGGCATGTGTCGTCTCCTGACCTAAGGGCCGAACCTGCTCCCTCAGTGCCAGCAGAGCCTGTGGGCTGACTGAAACCTTTGCCACTCTAGAACACGCCAGGTTACCTTTAACATAGAACCGACACACATTAGACATGTATACATACAGACACATACAAGTCCTGTGATTAATGCCTGCCTCTTCAGCCGTCTCATCCTGTTCTCTTTTTTTATATCGTATGAATGTGTCCTCATTATCAGGCAATGAGTCTAGATATGACCAAATGCGTATTTTCCACTATTTCTACAACTGCTTATGTCAGATTATTCCCAGGAAAGGTCATGTGAGCAGGTGATACAATATGCTAAAACCCTGTGATGACTTGTGGCAACTGTTGTTCTGTGCCAGGCCGGTCGCACAGAGGTTTTTCTACATTTCACTGCTTTTTTCCCCCTCTCTTCACCTCTTCATGAAACCTGAATATTTTATCTGCCTCGCAGATAAATGTTACATGGGAATACTTAATTCATTTGGCTCCATTTATATTCGAACAACAATGCAGCAGTGTGTGTTTGTGTGTGAGATGAAGACCATATTTCCTGGAGTAATGAGACAAATTAGATGCAGTAAAAAAATACATAAAAGCAGTAAATGTCATGTTTGAAATGGCACACACATCTTATGTAACTAGGAGGCCTGACTGCACTTTTAATGGAAACAAAAAATGAACAAGCACCAAACCTGTAAAGTGTGTCCTCTTTCCTTTTTGATTTTCTGGAGCTTTGGTCATCTCATAGAAAGCCCCATAAAGTTCGGACCTAAAATTGAAACACAGCAACATAAAGAATTTAAAACCTTATGTGTGTACTCTGTTATACTTCTCAAGTTACTCAGTAACTTAGATGTTTTCTATCTGTATCCACAAACACAAATACTGCTATTTCAATTATTGGCCCTCTAGTGGCAGGCAAACCACACAGCATTCCTCTTACTTCAGGTATGAGGGAAAGTAGACTGAACATAATGTGTGACTTGTGTGATCTTCGGTCATTTACTCATGTACCATGAAACTCTCAGAGACAGAGGCAGAACGTATGGACAGTAGTGAGAACAAACATAAATCTAAGTGAGAAATTACCAATCTTCAGAGAGCTGAAGCAGCAGGATTTTCAGGTTGGATGGGAGCTCTGCGAGGATGTTTAGGTGGTCGGGATTAATGGTCAGATGTCCGAAGGCCTGCGAACCAGAAGGTCATTTCAAGATCACTCACAACTTTAAGGAAAGCATAAAAATGGTCCCTGATTTTTGATGTCAGAATGTAAAAAAGCCTGTTGCACAAGAAAGGTGCTGCCAGAGATACAGCACATAAAGAGGAACAGATGGATTTAAACATTTAAAAAAAAAAAGGTAAGCAATTATAATGCATTAAAATAAAATGTCAGTCAAAATATCTCAAAAGCATCACACATAAAATAATAACTTTTTAGTCAAGATGATCTTATCACATCATGATGATCAATCATCTCATCTTTTCAGCTTAATACTGAAGACCTCAATGCAAATTTATAGCTAGAGAATGATAATTACAATCCTCATCATAAAAGATATCAGTTACATTTCCAAAGTCAGAATAATTGACTTACAATAATATTTGACATTTAAATGACATGAAACTCCTTCAGTTGATCTTCAATCTGAGTTAAACTCACCAGCACCAATGGCTCTTAGAAAAGCCCATAACAGTGCCAATATCATGCTGACTATCAAGGGAATTTACCAAGGTGGGTATGACAGCATCCATAAATCATGAGTTGGGAGGTTTGTGACCCTGTACCTTGGAGAGGCTGTTAAGGGAGTCCTCTGCTCCCTTCAGCATGCTGCTGGGCCTCTCCTCCTGAGAGCCGAGCAGGTTCCTGCGGAGGTTGAGCAGAGCTGAGAGCTGGGACACGCTAGTGTCAGTGCAGGCAGAATTCAGGACTTCAGCTATCACAGCAACCGCGGAGCAGCTCTTGGAAAAAGAAAAGAGAAGACGGATGAAGGAGATTGCATTAGAATGTAATAGATGGAAATAAAATGATCTTAAAGAATGCCATTATGTAAGCTGAGATGATTTGTGGGTATGAATGGACTGTGAAGTGCATAGAGCCACCTGTGCTATGCATGCAGGAAGCACCATATGCGGAACTTTCTGGGCATAACAGTGATAAGACTGACGGTGAAACATGTCTTAAACTTAAAGACGCACAAACTGTATGATCTAATCTATAATACCTGAAACAGGGCAAGATATTGACCCGTCACTGCAGGTTCAGATTGGCCGTGACACTTCAACATGTTGAGAGAGGCATCAGCCAGGATGGAAGATGGCAGGTTATGTTGGAGACACAGGCTGATGGCTTCAGTGAGTGCTTTAGTGGCCTGTGCCAACAGCTGCTGGGCTTTTTGCCTTCTCCGCTGCTCAAGTACGAGACAAACACACAAACACATGCAGACAGATTAGACAGTATGACATGGTAAGTAAATCCACATGATCACTCATACTGCACAGTGGTTGGGGCTTAACACAACTGTGGAGCTTTGTCCAAGTAAGACTGACGTCAGAAGATATCCTCTTAATGTGTATAACTTGGACAGCTGAAGCCTCATATTAGCATCATTTAATCTTTACAAAGCATTTTTTGCACATAATGAGGACTGTCAGCTCTGATCATTTCCACTGGAATTAACTGAGGAGAGGAATACCTTTACAGCCTGTATAGACAAGAGGAAAGACTATAGTGAGCAGTTATTCTAGAAATGTATGTATGGGCATGTGAGTATTGTTTTAAAATGGGAACCTTAAAATTTAAATTCAGGAAATAATAACTTTTTATGATCTTGCCTTTGGTGTTTTTGTATTAAATTGGATGTAAAAGTCAGAACACATGTGGAGCATTCTTAATAGTTATTGTTTTTCTTTAACAGTGTTAACTATGATGCATTAGCGTCAATTAGATTGTTGCAATTATTCATTGTTCTTACCTCTTGCTGAGCTTCTATTTAGTTTAATCAGACTGAAAGGACACTTAAACTTTGTGTTGGCATGTTTTGTTTAACCCCAAACAGGAATTCATGCCAAACTTTTCCAGCCTTCGCTCACAGCATCAGTGTGCTGTTCTGCCAGTTGTTCATTATTAAATGCCTTGCTTTTATACTTGATATTTCAGTTTAACATACACGTAAAAGTTTTCACATTTATAATTTAGGTCTTTAGATAACACAACAAACTTCAGCGCTATTTAAATGGATTTGTCTGGCAACAATCTGCTGATTCCCCCAATGACAGATTAAAACCGTCTGTGAAGGCATTCATCTCATTTTGATATGATTCAAATGGCATCGAGATATCAATAAAAACTTTGTCTTGTTACATTTAATCTCAACACAGACAGCCCAGACACAACTCAATTTCATATCCTTAATAACTCAATCTAAAAAGATGACACTAACAATAAAACATTGTTACTGTTCGATTCTGAGGTGGACATTGGATCTCTCTACATTGACTTTGACGATGAGAACAACGAGAACACCCAGGGATCTACCTCTGGGGGATTTGAGAGGTGAGATGAACCACAAGATAAAGAGCTCAGATTAGACATGACTAAGGAGTGATGGGGTCACTTGTCAGGAGGTATTCACCTGCTGCTCAGCACTTTTGGCAGAGATCTTCCTTTGCTCCCTTCTGCTTGATTCTCTGTCTTTCTCTTTCTCTGAATACTCCTCCTCGACAGAAATGGTTTTCGGGTCAGACCAGGCCTCCTCCTGCACAAAGTTATTTCAAGATCACAGAACAATGATCACGATTAGTATAAAATCCTCTCATGATCACAAACCATGAAGACTTAGTCTCTTAAATTAAATAAGCAGACATCCATCTCTCTAATCACTGTAAGCCTCTCACACTATGTGATCTTTGGTATACATGTGTGTGTTTGGATCCATATTCCCCAAAAATTCACTGACCTCTATGACCATAATTAAAAGAGAATGAATTGAAGACTTAAGTGATTTCCTCTCTTGTGTTGGTTTTGTGAGGCAGCATGTGTCGCAGTGGTTAGCACTGTCACTATGAGTGTGTTGTACAAGGAAGTAAATCATCAACTGCTGTTTCGTTTAAATAATGATTGACTGGTAAAGCCTCTCTGTTAATCAGCATTCTTTAAAGAATAAATCAGTCACACTAGGAACTGGCCTCAACGTTTCAATATTAGTGAAAGACATGCAGATTGGGGTTAGGTTAACTAGAGACTCTACATTGTCGATAGGTGTGGGTGTTTGACTCTGTATGTTGAACCTGGGATACGCTGTAAAGGTTGTACCCCTTCTCTTGCCCCTTGGCAGCTGGGATTGGCTCCAGCGCCCCCCTGTGGCCCTCAAAGAGTAAGCGGTGTAGATAACGGATTGGATGTCTCTTAAGTGTCTGGTTTCAATTGCTTACTTGTAGAGCCCTCTATGCATCAAACATACTGTATTTCAGTCAGACAATTTACCGCAGGGATTACATTAACATGATTACATTGATATACAATACTACGTTTATAGAACGGGCAATGATGAGCAAATGTCTTTAACATCTGTAACACCGACAGAGCAGCAGCGGCTTTGACAAGCAAAGGGAGATCTAGAAAATCTTTGCAGCTTTAATAGACCGCCAACTTGGGAGGGTGTGTATGACAGAGGATTTAGCAGAGTGAGGCTTATGATAAGAGCAGGGCAGCTCGAGTTGACTGTCTCAACTAGCTCGCAAGCATCATATACACAAACATTATGTTTGAATTTGTACATTAACATGTGTTGCCTACATGCTTGTGTTTGTCCCAGAGAGCACACAGATAAAGAGGGTCCTCCTGCACAGCCAGCAGTCTCAGGTACTTTCCCATCAGACTCAGGTAGCGAGCTCTGGTCTTTGCGTTGTCCGAGGAGTGAGAGCTGATTGCAGCCAGCTGGCCCAGAGCCACCTGCCCCAGAGAGTTGCCCGCATTCACCCATTGCTGCACAACAAAGAGAGAATTAAGGTGAAATTAGGAGTAGATCACAAGCCAGTACTCTAATTTTAAGTGCAAGTCCCTGTGATATGAGGCAGAGGACGACAGAGAAAGATGAAGAAAGGGAGAAAGCAAGAAAGAATGTACAAAAAATGCAAGTGAAAGACAAAGAATGAGGATAAACAATAGAATCTGACATATATCAACGTTATATAATTTATGGGACTGCATTTGTCATGTTCACAGCTCTGCAAGCCCATCTGACCCTAAACTATTAATATTAAATGAGCAATTTCAAATATAGAGTCCTGGCTGATGCAGCTGCAAACATCTCATTTGGTTTTCCAAACATGTGTTGACTGACAAAAAGCACAATAGGAGAAGAGGATATTGTTACATAGAGGAACTGTCAAGTGACTGATGTCTGTGTGGTCTTAATGCTGCGTGTTGTTATTTGGGAAATCAAATCTTTATTTCTGTATAAGGAGAAATACATGCTGTATTAAATGCCGAATGAGATGATATACAGAAACTCTAATACTCTCTGTTATTCAGCTCAGCAGCAGAGAATTACAGCAGTGTAGAGTGATTGTACACTGGCCCATGTACCTTGGCAACTTTTCAAACATCTTATATCTGCCTCTCCTAAATCTTACATAAATATTCTGAATGAAAACAAGAGGCTGTTACGTTAAAACCAGTGGTACAACGCCTGAATGCACTATGAACAGCTCAGGACGTCTATGGTCTTAGTTGTCAGGAAACTCTCTTCTTAATAACTCAGTTTTCTCCCAACACCGGATTATTAAGACTTTGTTTTTTAATTTACAGGGGGAGAAACCTCAGCTAAAACTTAGGAGTGAAGTTACACTTAAAGCAAACTAAAGGCCCACTGCTCTTATCTGACCTATTCCTATTTTTGTTGTTCAGATTTAATGACATTGACTGCAACTATAAGAATTAATTTCATTCATATGTGTTGATACAGTCAATCGTTGCACTTAATTAGCAAAATTAGAAATATGTCATCTAATACATTGTCCGAACTGTAGTTGATTGTTAAGGAGTTCTATTGCACATATATATAAATATTACTTGTGAGTAGAATAAATTGTAGTATTGTTGCTATTGGTGTTTATGGGATTTGCTTATAATAAAAATATATAATAAGGCTTATTTTAAGCAAGATGCTGTTCATATTGAATATGCCAGGTGAGTTTATACTTAAATAGATTTAGGATTCTCATTTGGCCAAATTGTGAGCCTTACCTGTTCTACAGACCCCGGCTCAGGTGTCAAGCGTGTGTACTCCTCCAGTGCGATCTCAGCAGACGTCTTTCTCTCACGAGACAGAGCTTGGCATTTCTTCTCAGCACAGTGCTCCTCCAGCACGGCCAGACAAAACTCTGCCAGGACCAGCCGCAGGTGCAGCAGCCTCTGCATAGCTGCCAGCCGAATTCCATGAGTCTGGGACAGAGAATAACAAAAATGCACAAAAGTATGAGCACACGCAGGTATTAGATCATTAGGTATATTGTTACATAGATGTACATTAGAATTATACATGTCACTATATATGAGCTATGGAACAAACTAATGTAAGTTAGTAATGAAGAAAACTCCACAGCAGTTTTCCTATGAGCTGCAAACACCTTCCTTTTAATATTAAGTTCCTATTAAAGGGTATGTGCTCTCAAGTTGCATGTTAGGGCACAGGAGTGGGCTGGGATAGTGACTTAAGTAAAAGGTCTGATCAGATGATGTGAATTATTGCAAATGAGACATTTTGTGAACCACTAATTAAGACCATATAGAATTGAATGATGAACAAAAGGTAGCCTGGCTCATAAAGATGAATTAATGAGCATGACTTCAGTGATTAGAGCTGTGATCTTTCGTTCACAGGTTGCAGGTTGGATGTCAGGATTTACTAAGGCACCAGCACCATCTGCTGTGAGCTCACTGCTACGATCCAGCCTCCGACAGCGGAGGCAAAACATCCACAGGAGATTAAATCAAAAACTCCAATTGAAAGAGTTGTTCCATCAATCTTTCCCTCATGATTCCATCAACATGAAATCTAAAGCTGCAGTCAGTCCATCTCTGACACAGAAGCGCTCAGATAACCTCGTCTGTATGAGCGCTTGTATAGCGCCTAGATAAAATATGATTCTGACACCCATCTGCTCGTGACAAGTTGCAGTAATGGAGGTTTTATCTGTTTGTCTGAGACCATTTTCAAACTGCAGATATAAACAGTGACATACACCCATACAGATAGATATGTAGCCACATTATCACAAAGCCGAAAACAGAATATGAAATGACGCACGAATATGACACACAAAAGGACTCAATTACCTCAAATAGCTGCTTAATTGTGATTGAGTCAATACTGAGACAAGACTCAAGGAAAGGTTAGAAATCAAATATGGAATTAAAAAGATAAAGATGTCTTATTACAGATAAGATAACCAAAGCTTCTCTCTCTCTTATATTTTTCCGTATACAAAACATTTCAAAGCAAAACCCTTTTCCCCCTCAATACTAAAAAACCATGGTGAGATACTTAACCAAATAGGATTAGGAGACAAAACCATGCTATCTTTAACTAGGCAACAATTTTGGCCAAAATATAACAGGGAGAAACAAGTGTTTTTCCACAATTGAAGCAAATTAAGTGGCTGTTAAGAGCTTGAGAGTGTAGATCACAGACATCTTCTCAGATCATGTGTGAGATAAAATGCCCCCGATGGTTTTTGAGGACGCATCATCACAATAAAAGATGGATTTGTTAAAGGGACCACATAGATGCACGTTTACCTCTTCCTGTGGGGGGAGCAGGCTCTGAGCATTCAGCACCACATGTTCCTGCACTGTGACAGCTAGCTCCATTTGAGAGAGACCATTGAGCAGGAGGAGCTGTTTCTCCTCTTTATCTGTTGTATGGTCAGCTAAAATTCTGTTGCGGTACAATGTGTTATGAAGGTTGACGAAGACAGAGAACACAAAGTATGATTGTGTGAGAGAGACAGGAAATCAGTCAAACACAGCAATATGGCCAATATGACTAAAGCTGTTCTTACTGTTCTACAAATGGCCTAGTGTTTTATTTGCAGAAGATTCCAGGGCGCTACTGGTGACAAAAAGCATTACTAGTGGGCATTTTGTGGACTGCCGCAGTTGCCCCATAAGATTATACTGCACCCACTGCCACTGTGTTGCAGCTGCTGGCAGAGGATCTATTTCCAAAAGTTTTTTTAACTACCATTCATTTACACACCTACATTTATAAATAAAGGCTTGAAAAATACTCAGATTCCCCAGTCAGGTCTGGAATAACTCGACTGTCTTTACCTCACACCATGTGCGTACTCTGCATGTGCCTCTGCAGCCTGTTTTCTATAGTTGAGTTTAGTGAAACTCCTGGCACTCTCTCTGAGTGTATCACAGGCAGTCATGAGCATCTGGACAGCCTTGCTGCAGGGCGTCTCCCCAGGCTCACCACCAAAAGCACGTATACATTCCATGGCACCTCTGGAGCACAAAACATTACATTAGATCAAGATTATAATGTAGATTATTTGAGTTTGATTGGCAATTCTAGATGCTTTTAAAGATAGTTACATGCTGTATGATGTGAAGAGGAGGTTCCCCTATGTGCAAAGTGGGGTTTATTAAAATGATGGATAATAGATCCTTATAGAAATGGTGTCTCTAAGCGTCAGTTTAGTCACTTTGTTTTTGCCATTTGTTTGTATGGAGAAATCTAAAGCTGGTGTCAAATATTTGCTCTAAATAATTTTTACTAAAACTGTATAGTGCAGCTTAAATGTTCTTAAACATCTTAATAAAACACAACACAGCACTGAAGAAGAAAAGACACACAGGTTACCTCATCTCTAATGAAGTGATTAAGAATGTGAGCGCTGACACTCTGTTAACCTGCTGATCCAAGACCTGCTTCAGAGCTCCACAGCTTTGATTTATTATCTGATCAACCTGTGGATGAAATAGAGGCACAATGAGATGGGGATTCATTTAAAAAACAGGGTAACTGCAATGTAGGTGTGTTAGAAGGTGGTGATTTTATACCTTGGTTTGTGCATCCTGGTGTTTCTGCCCTACTACAGCTCTAATCTTGTTGAGGGTGAGTTGGTACCAGAACTCTTCATCCCCACCGAGGACTTGGGCTTTGTCCAGCAGGATCAGAGCTTGGGCATGGTTCTGCTCTTCACAAGCCAAAGAGGCCAGACTGAGCAAACTTCTTGCCATTGCTTTCTGATCCCCAAACTCCTAAACAGAGAATTTGAAATGCATAATAATAGCTAGAGCATCTGTATCAACAGTATATTGTAACAGTTCAATAACTAGCGTGTCATCATTGCAGATGTAATATTGTTTCAGACTTTCATGAAATTCAGTGTGAGCAAGATTAATTGGTCAGATTCTGTTTTACTGTCAGACCCTGGCACTGTGGTCTTATTCTATTTCAACTCACGCTTGCCATTGAGTGAGCCCCTGCCAGGAGCTGTCGGGCTGGTTGATAGAGCCCCATGTTGAGAAGAACCTCAGCTTTGTCCAGCCAAATGTCCTGAGCACACATGTTCATTCTCTGCTGTCCAGGACTGATGTTTTCATCCATCGTAGCTTTCTGAAAAATTCAATTGTTGATGCATTGGATACACAAAAGATATACACACACAAAATCCAGCATAAAGCTGTTAACACAGATGCAAACCAACAGCATGTGTTAAAAAGAGTAGAACAGAACAAATATCTTTCTTATGTTCTTTGATAAAATCTTGTAGTGTTGCAGTGTTAAAGTTTATGAGATGAGAGCTGTCGACTATGAAAATTCACACCGTTAAGTGATATCACTCATTCCAGGTTTATGAGACAAGTGATTAGACCGTCATTAAAAAAATGTATTAATCTGCCATCACTCATTATAAAAGTATAACTTAAGAGCATGCAGTAAATTTCCTTAGACAATATAAACTTCAGTTAGTCAAGTGTGGGCACTTGCCAATCATCTTAAGAAGTAATAAACTTAACTAGAGTTAATTAAATGTTGTAAATCCTTGTAAATGTGCAGCATTTGGTGCGAAATAAAAAGCTACATTTATTTTAAGAGCGTACACTGACCTGATAATGAGCTTTGAAATGGACTTTCCTCTCTTTTGAGACAGCAATCATTTTGTGGCACCTGAAAATAAAGAATATGATATAACATGATAATGGGTTATTAAAGAAAACTGTGCAGACATTAAATCTTTATAACAGAGTTGACTTACTCTATCTGCTCTTTTTCCTGGATTCTGCACAACTCTGGGAGCTTCTCCCAATATGGTGAATGTGTCTCAAAACCCAGCTGGCAACACATCCTCAGAATTCTGATTAAGGGAATAAATAACACCAGGAAGTTAACAAAGTCACTATGCAACAGGATTTCTGAACTTTACTTATCTTGCCACAAGTTGATGCTCGTCAGTCCCTTAACTTAACAGCTGACTTTAGTCAAATCATTGTCTCACAGTGCAACATAATTTAAATAAAATGCATTGGAAACAGTCTGACATATAAAGAATATATTTAGTTTTGCACTTTATACAGATTTTAAGACAGAGATAAGGAATGGACTACAGAAGTCTGGTAAGTTCACCCTCATTTTCAAACTTGTAGTCTTCAGCCCCTATCGACACTGACTCAAATAGCAAAGCAGTAAAACAGTATTTGAACAAATCCCTCACCAAAACCTGTAAACAGTTGTTTAATATTGACAGAGTTCCTGTTACATGTGTATCATTTGTTCACCTGAGTCGGTAAGCATCGGAAAGGCTCCTCTTATCCAGAAGGTCATGAGCTATGATCTCAGATAGATGCAGTATGGGCAGCGTCATGTGATCGAGTGAGAGTGAGTGAAGCTCTTTTTCCAGCAGGTTGAGATAAAACAAGCTTTGAGTCTGCAGACAATCAAACATAAGGAGCATATATTGTAAATAATCTGATCCTAATGGAGATATCCCCCCCCCCACAAAAAAAAGAACATATGTCAGTGTTCCATATTTTCAGTAAAAGGCCTATAATTGCTAAATGAAATCCACTCCCTGTACTTTCGTTCAATTTTCGAAAAGTATAGACACAAATATTAAATTAAAATATTCAATGAAGAATATTGGGGTTTCAAGCGTTTCCAGCATCTTAATGTGATCACCAAACATCAATTCCTGGGATTGACATTTATACCATGGCGATTTCTTGGTATGTTGAAAACAAGATGATATCACAGACAGAACCTTTGAAAGTAGATGGTTATGTCATACAGATATGTTAGGTTGAGGAAGTGCTCGCCTGCTTTGTGATGCAGTGTGCATTGATACAGTGCGGGCTACTGTTGGTTCTGAATATCTGCCTGGCCTGGTCCAGACAGATGTAGCGAGCCCAGTCCTTTGGCGAGGAAGGAAGTGCCTGATCCAGGACGACAGGTTTAGGTTTTTCTTCTGCAGGGGTATTCTGATAAGACAGTGACACATAGAATTGCTTTAGATTTACCATTGTACAGTCAGCATTTAAAATCAAGCATATTTAATTTAGTTTAGTAAATACTTGTAATGCATCAAATATATTTTATTAAATAATACCCATAATTTCACATTTACAATGTTCTGTCATGTAGTATCAAGCACCCTGTGGGAATCTAAAACTTTATAACAGTGATTGTTATGGTCTGTCACAATTTCAGGACCTTCCTGATTGCCTAGCCCCTCCCACCTCATCGAAGAATTGGCCTCACCTGTTTGGAGCCTATATAACCTGTGTGGTTTCAAAATGGCCGTCTCTCTCTCCCCAGCTTTGCTTGATTAGGTCTGTGCATGTGTTCAGACCTTTGTTTATATTGTAGGTAATCTACAGCAGCTTCTTCATTTTCCTCACACCCAACATTCACACTACACAAATGTTAACAGGTTCATTATGTCTCTGTTTTCTTGTGTTGAGTTATTGTTATAAGATAGATAGATGCTTTGTTGATCCTGAGGGAAATTTAGGATCAATACAAATATGATGACTAAGTTTATTTAAATGTTTACTGTGTGGACCTAACTTCTTTTTTTTGCTTATGCTCCTGAACAAGCTGGGCAAGTAATCTTCATGAATGTCATTTATAAAAAATGTAATATGATTTTTATCATAAAGACAGAGAGGGTAAACAATGGCTTACAACTAGAATCAACTAGCTGCATTATTCATCAAAAATTACGACCTACTTTTGTATGTCACTTGCTCTGTGTGTAAAGTGTAAATCATCTGGATCTGAGCTGCGTGACCTACTTCTTTTACATCTGTCTTGCTCTTGCCCTTGTCTTTGCCCTTTTTGGATCCAATAGAGGGAGAAGGCTGGTGTGGCTGACTCTTTGCCATATCACTGGAAATCTCAGAAACCACAGCCATGGAAACCTGCAGTAAAATAAATGCAATGCACATTCAATACTCAACTCAAATAAAGCCTGCATTTCGAGACAGCTTCGCCCACATTGTCATATTTGATTGATAGGAGACTATACCTTCCATATCTGAATCACAAAGGTGTAGGCTCTGAGCAGGTTAAGCTGGTGCTCAGGTGATGTCCTGTCTGTCATGACAGCAAGCAGAGTGTGTGCTTTCACCAAACCGTCCAGCCGTCGCACTTCCTTCAGATTGGACAGATTTTGCGTGAATGGGCCCTCGACTTCAAACAGAGGCTCATGTTCCACTTTACTCAGAGCCTTTGTTTTGGACTTGTTGTCTAGAGGAAGGATGTACACATAACATTCAGAGCGACAAATGATTTAACAGGCAACAAGACTAATACAGACAACATGGATTGTTAAAAATACTTAGCAACTAGAAAGAAAGCCATTAAAACACAAACAGTATCTCTGTAATTAATTTTTATTTTTTGTTTAACGTGGATGTTAAATGTGTCTCGTAGAGGATTTTAATGGGCTCATAGCACAAGACTGAAAACAGAGTGCTGTGCTATTTGTCCACTCTTTGTCTTGTTGACACAGGGAACAGTTTGAAATAAAAGAAACAACAATCACTGATATTCCCTTTTGACAAATACAGTGTAAACAAATCAAGGATTCTCTAAATTAAAGTGCAACCACAAAAAAGCTGAACCCATGTGGAGGAGGACACCTGAGTTTCTGTGTTTCAGGCCCACATGCATGCCTTGAGGGGAATCTCTTTCTTATAGTGCACATAATATCGTATAATTAACAAATCTAACTTCATGTTAAGACATTCATGATACAGTGAACAAGATGAATCCTACCTGCTCCTTCTGCCTGTTCGGGTTCCAGGTGTAGCAGGATATCTATGGCCCACTCAACCTGGTGTTGGGCATTGGCTTTGGGAAAGTTGTGACAGTACAGCCACTCTCCAAACTCGAGTAAAAGGTTGACCTTCTGCCACTGAGTCTCTGAGCTCTGCATCAGAAACACAAAAATCTGTCAAAGTAGTTTTTAAGGTTTACCTTGTATGTAGTATTTTCGATAACTTTTAGTTAGGGGCTCTGTATCCTGAAGCTTGGGGTGCTCTGAATCATGTCTCAGATGCCACCAAACCTAAACCTAACTTCTAATATTATAAAGCTCAAACCAAACATGACTTAGCCCCAGTTGAGGAGTTACAAGGATTAGTATTTTCACTCTCATGCAATCATTTTGTTGTAATGACATTGTGGCTCCACAAGATGGTGCTTGAGCCTCATGTTCATTCTTGTGTGTTCTTAAAGTGAAAAGGGCTTCACATAATCTGTCATAATCCATAAAATGATGGATTTAATTACCACAACTCTACTCCGATGACAGATTCCAACGTGATCTTTCTGCATTCATCTGCTGATGAAGCAGCTTTTGGCAGTGATATAAAAATGGTGGTAGAAAAGAGGCATTACCAGCAGACAAGCGATGGATTTCTGGTAGCAGGTCAGCTGCTGGGTTATATTGCCAGCACACAGTGCCACCTGATGCCACATAAATGAATGGCACTGCTCTCCTTCATCTTGAAGCTTCTGCATGTCCACCACAACACTTTTCCCAAGTCGTGCTTTCACCAGTATGCAACTTTTCAGCAGAGGTCTGGTAAGACACAAGAGGACATCATGATTTCCTTTTGTATTTCTGTCTTTCTACCTTTTACAGATCTTGTCATAGCTTTTCCTCTTGCTCACAGTCTCTGTTTGGTGTGAGGCATGTCTCTTTTAGCTTTGTCCAGCAGCTGCAGAGCACTTTTCCAGTCACGTTTATCAGCATGGATGTGGAGCAACAAACCGTAAATGGCTGCTCTCAGGGTTAGGTCCTCTTCATCTACTCATAGAGACACATATACAGAAAAATACAAATTAAAAGACTGAATTGTAATGTGAGCAATTTTACCATTATTTATGTATCAATGTAAATTATAGAAATCCAATGATCAAATCTTAGGGCTTAAAGTTCCCAAGATAAAGGAGTGCTCAATATTTTTTTACTGTCCGTAATTTACAGTAGAAATAAAGACCAAACCCACTAAAGTGATTTAAAAGGAATTCAAACCAAACAGGAAGCCATTTCTAAAGGGTAAAGGTTCTTTTCTGTTCTTTCACAGCTCACCTATTCCTTCATGTTTAGATCTCCCAGGAGGCCGTGTTGTCAAGGTGAGCATGCCTTTCATTACGACCTGTTTCTGAAATGGAAGAGGGAAAAGATTTAAACTTGAGTGTCTCGCAGAGGGATAGAAAAGTGGTGGTGGTTGAAAAATGGTCGTACTCCAAGCTCACTGATCTACAAGACAAATTGCTTTCTGACCTTGCCCTGTATATGACCCTGCCCCCTGTAACTCCCCATCCACATCCAGAGCCTGCAACATTACTGCCTTCAATTATCTGGCTTAGGAAGTTGTTTCTAGTCTTTACACCCTTTTACACCCACACAGAAACAATTCACATCAAGTCTGTTAATACAAGACACCGCTGCATGCGATAGATTAGGTTTCTCCCCTGCTTACCGTGGATCACTGCACTGCTGGAGAAAAATGTCAAGTTAGAAGCATCATTCTGAAATCTCTCATAAGCTGCCTTTAATTATGGATTTCAAACTTATTTTTCAGCTGAACAACTGTTTATCCCCCTGGCTGTCTAAAGGCAGCGATGAGATATTTTTTCACTCTCTAGAGCACCTACAGTCTACCTCCTCTAGTACCCTCCAGAAGAATTTTAATCGATTTCATCATCAGCAAAAGATAACAGAGCATGTTTAATAACCCTGCCATATATATATTTTACTTTATGTGATAGCAACCAAACCGTGAAATATTAAAAATTGGAATAGGAAAAAAAGACATGTTCTGGCTGTCGATCAATTCTTTTTTTGCTCGCTCAAAAGTAGTTCATTTTGCTGCTAGTACTTTAGGCTGAATCTTTGTCCTGACAGTAGTTGGCATGGCTAAAAATCGTTTTTGGAAAGACTTGATACTGGGGCTCAAAAAAGGGCTGTGAGAGATTCTGTGTTTCTGTGGTTTCCTTTGTTTTACTGCGATCCTCTTATGTGTTAGGCTGCAACACTAACAATACTAAGTTGTTCAACGTCACAAAAATGCAAAACGGTATTTGTATACTCTCCTACAGTTGAGCCAGGTGCTTAAATGACAAATGCAGTGAAGGAAAAAATACCTAAACGGTGGATTATAACTCCCAAAACCTGTTGTGAAAATTGCTGTAATCCCAGTTTTAAATTAGGAAAATAATAATATATACATTTAAATATTATACAATCAAACATATCATTTCAGTTTTTGATGCTGTATCGGGAGGGAAATTTCTGCCAGATCTCTTGGCTGACTACAACAGGATGTCATTGGTTTTGTCCCCTTATGACATACATGGAACTATGTCCTTTTCCATGGGATTATTTTTTTGATTAAGACCTGGGAGAGTACAAACTATTTTTAAAGGATTTTTTTTCATCTGCTCACAGATGACAACAGCACAGGATTTATATGGATGAATGTGCCAGTAAAATTGTGGATATAAGAGATAATACTTTTGCATGTTTGGTGGAGGTATGGACCAGAGCATTCAGGATCTCCTCCAAGGGATCCTGGAGTTGCTGTCTTTCTTCAGGAGTCTGTGACAGGGGGACGCAAGAGTTCCAGTAATGTTTGGCGACTGTGACACACAATGTTGGATTCTCAGCCTTCTCTGCAAAGCTGTGGACAAGAGAAATGGTAGAAACAGATACAAAACTGCAATAAGAACAGATTATGATGTTTTAAAGGAATACATAAATGAACTAGAAAGTGCACCTGACACTGGAAAGAAGCCCCTTCATGGCGTCTCTGTAAGTGCGTAGATCTCCATTGGACTCATGGACTAAACTCAGACCCCTCAAACAGGCTGCAGTGCTCAGCATCTCATTCACTGAAGTCAGGTCATAACTATGGGTAAAATAATATTGATTAGCTGTCATTTACCTGTCAAGTTGATTAATGAATCAACCAAAATGTTAAACTGACATAGAGAAACATGAGACTTTGCTACTTCATTCAAACTTTGCAGTTTAAATTTTTATCAACTGCAGTACTCTTAAATATGCACAAGATGTCACCTGCCCCTCAGAGAGCTTTGGAAGCAAAATGTCAACTGCTTTTCACACACATCCATTTCAAATGCAGTCTCTCTCGTCCTTTCTTTTCACAAATTAGACAAAAAAGACTGATCTACCAAGGTACTTCTAAAACTGTCAGGTTGTTTTAAATGATCTGTACTCATCCAAACACACTTACAGAGCACAGGGCATAGTGTTGATGCCCTTTGCTGCGGCTTCCTCCAGCCGCAGAGCGCTCTTGGTGCAGCACAACACCAAGCTGTGGTCCTTGGCATAGTGACAGACGGCAGCCAGCTGGCACCACACCTGCAACTCAACCACAGCGTCCGTCCAGCTGCATTCTGACGCCATGCTCACCAGCTGGAGGTGAGGAGACAGGAGAAAGGGGAGGGGAGGAAAAATTTAGATGGTGAGGGAAAAGGAAGGAGGATGGGAGGGAGCACAAAAAGATGAGGAGATTGAGTGTGGGAAAAGAGAGGAGGAAATGGTGAGAGGAAAAAGATATGATGAGAGAGAGGGTGGGAAAAGATATGAAAAGAAGGATGGTGGGGGGAGAGAGGTGGGGATAGGGAGGGAGGGAAAAGTGAGAAAAATCAGGGGGAAGTTAAGTAATACATTCAGGGATGAGCGAACACAGGAAGTATGAATGAAGAGGAGAAAGGCAAGAGGTGATGAAACAAATGTGAAAAGATGAAGAAAGGATTGGCAAGGGAAAAGACAGAAATGGAAGTAAATAGAGAAAAGAAAGCACAGGGGTAGGAGAGTAAGAAAAAAAGTGAAGGCAAGCAATGGGAAAACAAACAATGGGCAGGGAGGAAGGGAGTAGAGGAAAGAGTAGGGGGCAGAAGAACATGGCAGCAAAGAAGTGAAGAAAGAAACATTTGAAAAGGAAAAGGAAGGGATAAGAAATAGAAAGTAAAGTTTAGGGAGGGATGAAAAAAGGAGAAGTTAAAAGCAGTGGACGGAGCGAATGAAAATGAGGAGAAAGAGAGGAGGGGGGGTCAAAGGGAGATGGATGGATGAGACAGAGTGAAAGATATAGGTGTGAAAAAGTGCCAAAGGGCCTTGAATGTCAGAGTGAGTAATTCTCAGCAAGAAGAAAATAAATCACATCACATATCATATCAAGGAAACGTCTGTCATCCCTTATCCGACCAAAACAAGCGATTCGAGGGAGCTATGGTTATATTTGAAGGTATTGACACATAATGAGATGCGGATGGGCTCGGAAAAGCTCATGGGTCATCTCGGCATCTGTGGCTACCATCTGGTCCACAGCTACAGTAGGAATACAGGAGTGGAGGAGTACATACTGTTTGGAGACTGGGAACGGAGAACTCCATATGCCCTGGGTTCCTATTGCACTGGAGCATCTCCACTCCGACCAGCACGCGCGTCATCGCCGACACTCCTTCATTCACACACTGCAAATGGGGGAGAGAACAATGAATACTGAGTATTTCAGTGCAGTAAATGGCTGAATATACGAATACAATACCTTAAGTTAAATTATAAAAAAGACATATACATGTATTACTATTTGCTTATAAATTATAAATAAACCTCTAGACTGATTATCAAATCGTGTGTCTCAAATATTGCAGGGCTAGCCTCGTTGATAATGTATGACTTCCCATTGTGTAGAAAATGAGTTGATGATTTATTGATTGCAGCTCGAGATAGACCCCATTCATATCAGCACGCTGCATTTCCTAATCTGCATGGCAAGAAACAAACCTCATTGGGTTGCGACTCAAAGCTCATCAGGCAAAAGGGACTAATGTAGGGCAGGAAACTCTTAGGTGACAAATGGTGATAGGATTAAGCCAACTAATCAAATGGTGTGTTTAACTGACAAACTGTATATATGCTTCCTCTCACTCTGAAGCAGTACAGTCAGGAGACATGATAGTGTAAGTAACACCTACAGCATAAAAAAGATTAATAAAAATGTCAGGCACCATAAGCCTACAATATCATAAGCACATTATACAAGAACTGTGAATAGACCACAACACAGGATGCATTATGACATGATGATGTTGTGACACTGAGCTGCACAGTTGCCGCAGCAAGCATCCCCCTACATCTCTCATTCTTTTAACTGCAATATAAAGATTCCCAAGTAGGCACTTTCATCGTAGATACAGAACACACAAGATGTCCGCCTCTTTAAGTGAAACAAGTTAATGCTTATAAACGTTTTGAAGAAGCTTTGGAGTATTTTGTAATATTGTAATTATTTTGTTGTCTTATTTGAAACCGATTTTGTTTCACTTTTTCATCAGTTTCACAGCAAATACAGCGATGCAATAATTTCAAGTGAGTACAGATATCAAACACTTCACCCACCCCTTCATCAGCATAGTGAACTTTAATTTTTGGGTAAACTATCCCTTTAAACTCAAAACATTCTTCTCTTCTTCCCAGTGGCAAAGGTTAGATTTAAAATAAAATACAATTCAAAAGTGAACATTCAGTGCCTCTGTGGTGTTGACTTATTAACGGAGTGAAAACGTGTATATGAAGGGAAACACCACACTGGTCTCCTCCTGAGAGGGTAGAGAAAACAGCTGTGTTATAGGAGTGTGAATGTAAGTTGGGAGAATTGTGGGAGGAGCACAATTGTTCAACTTTGTTACTGTCATAATTGACAATGTGAGGTTTCATCATTGTGTATGGCAACTCAGTGGAGCTTGCAAAAGTCAATCACAGTGATGCCTCGCTTCAACACCTCGCTCACTGAGACCACGGATTTCATCTGTCACTGCTGTTGTACCAAGGATGGATATGTCAGTGAATTCTCAGGGAGAAAATTGGACATAAGATAAATACTAATATACAGTAGATTTATGTCTTGTGTTAAAAACTGGAGAATAGTTTTAATTTCAATTCATTAACCAGTTCTCCAAAAGGATGTTTTGTTTTTAGGAAGTGCAGCAAAGCAATTAAAAACAACTTAAGTAAAAATTGTCCAAAGAGTACTTGGGGACCAGTAAACCACTACACACTACTATCATATATATACCTTGCTACATTACTTTTCAAATTTCGAATCGCCTAATGCATAGTGTGCCAGGGTAGTGACTTCCGTGCAATATCTTTCAAATGCTGATAAGGACCCTAAACAGTTTGAAGTTGGAGGCTGACGCAGAGAACGGTACCTGATCTTTGTCATCAACCTTTATACTAATCTGCTGTTGCAGCAACCACTTGATCTGCACCCATGTGGCCACCACCTGTTTCCTTGCTGCAATGGGAACCGTCTCTCCTGGGATGTTGCAGGTGGATATGTCAAGGGCGTAGTCACACAGCTAGAAGGAAGAGTAGAAACAGCAATCAGATAGAAGTACTTGGCAGCTTGAGGGGTTGTAGAAGTATTACATGCCATTAACATTTCAGGTATGTCATGATTATTATCCATAATATTAAATCATATTTTTAAAAGTTTCTGTCCATTACTATACATTATGATACAAATCTGTAAGACTGACTGCACATCCTACTTTCTCTTGCCCGAGGCCCTCTGCCAGCCTGTCTGTCGCAGACACGACAGACTTACACACAGAAGATTCATATTAAGTAAGACTTCAAGTCAGACACTGTATATGTGACCCTGCTGTATTGTAGACTAGTTATAAAAAATGTATCGGAGAGGCTCATATTTTATCTTCCCTTCAAAAAGGAAACAGATACGATGAAATTTAGTTAATAATTCACTGATAAAGTGCCTTTCATCTTAAGTAAGAGCTGATATTAATGGTGCAGCCTTTGAATGGAAGAGGAGACAGGAAGTAAGCTTTTAATTGGCAACTGCAGCAAAGAGAAGAGAGATATCAGACTCAAGAGAGTAGCATGTGAGTGTATATATATTCATAAATAAATATACATGAATGAGTAATGTGGATATAAGGATGTACCCTTCAACTTTTCACCTAGGATGCTTCAACGTGTGTCATGATATCATATTATTCCATTTTTTTCTATGAAACAGTACAACTGATAAATCCTGTTTCTTGATTGCAAAAGATAATATTTAGAAGCTTAATGTGGTTCAATAAGTTTCCAACTTTTAAAGAGCTGACAAGGTGGAAACTGTTTCATGCATGTTTCAGTGTGTCTGTATGAAGGATGGAAATGTGAGGATCTGATCTGATGTTAGGATTCTCCTTTAAGAGATCTTACACACACACACACACACACTTCTTTCAACTCCTATCTCTGCATGAGCTTTGTGGTTGGGATTTCAGACACTGTTCTCACAATGGGAAGATCAGACAGTGAAAGAAAGGAGCAATCAGTCTGGGAGTGAGGGTCAATCACGCCTGCATCAACGATTTACAACCAAACATGTTTTGATTACTTGGTAAAGTACATGTATTCCCCAGAAAAGCTGGTGACTGAGTTGCCATGATTGCATGTTATATGACCCTTGGAATTTTCTAAACCCCGGAGGAAGGTTTATAACGCTGACCTCATCAGCGCTTCTTGGAGACTGATTATTTCTTATCCTCTTGAGAAGTTTCGTAAAAAATCAGTGATTGCACAATCGTCCCTCAAGTCTTATCACATTAAGAGCTGTAGTCCCCAGTTAAGAGGTGTATTAATTTGTTCTGCAGATTAGTGATAATGGGTTTACCGTATGTACATTTCTTGTGACATTGGACATTTTATTCAATCTTGGTTCTGATTTTATTAAAATCAACATGTCCCTGTTGTACCCTGTTGTACCTCTTGCCTAAAATCAGCTGGGATTGTCTCCAACTCCCCTGCAGCCCTTAAAAGGATAAGCAGGCTAGATAATGGATGGATGTATGAATTAATTTAATTTGAATGTATGGTGTCAGAGAATTGTATGCAAACATATGGTGATATAAGAAGGTTTTATGCACATGTCAATGACACAGGCACAAAGGCAGTGGTTCACATATGCAATTGCCAAAGTAAGATCCACAATAATGTAACCAAATCTTCCACAACTGAAAGTCCCGACTCTTTATAAATATTTTTATGGGATTGTATGTATATCATGTATATTTTGTATCTTGTAAATGTGTATGACCCAGACATCACCTGCCACGTTCTCCATGTGTGAATCTCATAAAATGTCCAGCTATAGTTGGAACCCACAGCTTTATTGTCCCTAATTTGATCCCAGAATGCAACTTACATTATCCACCCCAAATGAGCAAAGTAGGTTTGTTTTAATACGTCAACCGAGATCAGATCAAATCAGATCAAATTTTCCAGACATTTTCTTGAAATCATGTCTGGTGCTGATCACACTCTTACATACACACAGTGACATACCTCCAATGCCTTGTGGACATCCTGCAGGGCAGCAGGATCTGAAAGAACCCCAGGAACAGAAGCTGCCTTCTCCATGCCCTTCTCAGCTTTGTTCTTGCCCTTGTCACCTGGCAAGGTTGGCACGACACTGTCTGGTCCACACAGAGGCTGGATCAAGCCCCGGGCCACAGCATTACACAGAAGCACAACCAGGGAACGATTCCTGAGATGCACAACACAGAGAAGGCTGAAAACTTACACTTTCTGGAAAAACAATACAAGGTTTCGCTTGATAGTAGTAAAGTATAAACCCTTCCAACAAATGTGGATATCTGTGTTTCCTCATATTGTCTCATATTCTGTGAATTAGGCACTGTGCCTAAATGATTTCCTAAAGACTAGTGCACATATTGCTGCTATTGCTGAAAGGGTAATGATTTTCACCTGAACTGAATGTCGTAATATACAAAGTTCTTCACTGTGGGTTGAGAAAATGAGAAGCAGCCACACACCCAAATTATTCAGTCTTACAGAATGACAGTAATTTAGAGACCCAGCCTACCCAAGCAACTCCATCTTTTGGAGCATCTCCACCAGATTCTGGAAGGAGGGAAGCAGGTGCTGGTACTCTCCAGAGGCCAGCAAGTGTCTGCTGTAGTTCCACAGGTAAACGGCCGCATTAGCAACCACCCACGATTCCCCGATGGCCGATCCGATCTCTGCTGCCCGTAAGAAGTTAAAGGTGGCGTCGGTGGACAGAGCCTGGATCCAGTCTCTGGGTGAGAGAGGTAGAGAAGAACAATAGAGAGTGAGAGGGGGAGAGAAAGCTGTGTTTGTTTAGAAGAGACGAAGATGCAGCAGCAAAGTGGCCACATGGTATTGTCTGTATTGAACTTAAGATGAAAAAGTAATTGAATTAAAAAAAAATTATACTTACTATATTTCATAAGATTTTTTACATCAGTAATTGCATTTGCTAAAGTGGCACTCTGACAGATTCCTCTGCATGATGGAAATGGAAAACTGCAACCTCACCTTAACAGTGTCAGGCAGGTTATATTCAATGAGGCATTCGGGAGCAATTTGTTTGAGCTCCTGAGGGCAAATTTAAAGCCTGCCGCTGGCACAATGCGATGTGCTGGAGGTGCAGTTCATTTCAGATAAAGCACACTAGTGTGTGCCGCACTGCTGAATGTCATATGTCAGTTCTGACTGCAATCCAGGGAAATGAGTCACACATGTAAAGCATTGTTTAAAATGCATGAAGTAGGTTTTTTTGGTGCTGATAAAGAATATCCACATTTGAATCCTATAATAAATATGTGTGATAACCACCATGACTTATGATATGGAGAAGAAACAGTACAATACATGTAGTGTCTGATCTTGGAGTTCCATCTACAACATCTTGGTCTTTATCTTTAAAGATAATCACATCATTGATGATGTTCGAAGGCTTGTTTTTTACCATATAAGTAGATGGTTTCAGATCTGCTCTGTATAATTATGATTTTAAGGCATGAAGACACAAGAGATTGTGTCATTACCATAACTGCCTATGATCATTTCTATTTACTTACGCACATGTACTCATTTTAGAAGCATAATTGTCTCCATACTCTGGCTCAATCCTCAGTTCTAAGGTAAGTTATAGTTAAGGCACCAAGGAAAACCCTGTCTTGGACTTTTTACTACCTCATTAAAGGAGCAAATAACACATATAAAATTATATTATACAGCCCCAAACACCCACAGCTGACAATGTAGAGGCATTAACTAGAAATTGAAAATAAACAAAATGTTTAAAAGTGGATAACTGAAAGTTAGTCCTTGTTCTGTCAGATTTCTGCATTCTTTCATCATTTTAAACGAAACAAAAAATAAATATATAACTGTTAAATACTGTCAAGTACAATGTGAAAGTATTTGATTTCCACTTTTGAGATAAAATACAAAACAATGCATTAAATGTTTGATATTCAAAGAATGCAGCAACATACAGCCCATTAACAAAATATTTACAAGAACAGACATATCATCTTTTATGGTTTATGATGTAAAAACGTGTGTTTGTTGGTGTGCATATTGTGTTTCACCTGTAAATAACCCAGTCTGGGTCCTCTTCAGACACATAAACCCCTCTTTCCTTTGGGGGAACAGCTGGGCTGTTGAGCTGCACACCCTCAGTTAACAGCTTTTGGACGGTGGCCTGGTAACACACAGTCATTCATAATTAAAGGTGCCTTTCTGTTTGACAACTTCATAAGGAGAAGAGAAGACCTCCCACTATGAGAACGACAGCTACTGTGGAGCTGCTGAAGATCAACGGTAGCAGATCAAAGCAAAAAGAAACAACTGGTGAGCATTTTAGTCACTTTGGCAGACAACTCAGGAACGACAAGAGGAACCTTTCTTCTTTTCAGACTGAGACATATAGGTATCGCACAGTCTTGTTAAAACCCTTACAATGAATGTTTACTGTAAGCAGTGTTTGTTTCTAATCTCATATTTCAGTAAGTAAAACTCGAAATTAATATTCCTATGATTGCGAATGGTTCAGACAGTTAGTTGTTATCATGTGCATCTCACTAGAAAAAACACAAGAAATAAAAAGCTGGTAAAGCAGAACATGTGCATGTTCACCTTAAAACATGTTGGGTTTAAAACTGCACAATCTGGAAATGTATGGACAACCAGCTTCACCTCCTGAAGCGTTTGAGACTACACTTATAACTATTATTTAGATGCACTGATAAAATGCATCCAACATTTAGCAATGACAATCATATCATCATCACTTTTAGACATGTTGAAAAATTGTTTTTCAAAAAACTTTCAAAGTATGCAGAACATCAATGAGTGCACAGTGGCTGGATAAGGTGCATGATCTCCTGTTATTGTGAAAGTGTCACTCTATGTATGTATTAATACATGCATATATACAGTGTATACTTATACTGAAAAATAAATTTTAACTGAATATATCAGATTTATTTTTTGTTATATGGTCTGCTAATCCTGCACTGGATTAAATTGCTTTCACATGAAACAGTGCACCAGTGTAATTGCATCTTGTTGACAACAGTGGCTGTTTGGTTTTTGCTCTGCTGTGTGTCAGTGCTCTGCTCTGCTCAGTTATTGCCAATGCAAATGATAGCTAGCTTCACATTAAGAGTCCCATTGGAGTAACAGTCAGGCACGGCCACATTGAGCTACAGGCTGCTGTGCCCTGTACTCTTCTTTAGTAAACACACACCTCAGCACTGATGAAGCAGATTTCAGCTAAAAGCCGCAAGTAGTCCTTCTCAGAGTTTTGGCTTTCACTGCAACCGTGACCAGATTCTGCACAGCTCTCCTCCTCCGAGCATCTGCAGTCTGGAGAGAAATGATAAAAGTCTGTGACAGTGAAAGAAATTCTCTCCCCCTGAATTTATCACTGGTACAACCATTACTACTTTCCAACCACCTATGTGACTTTCACTAACTATGCTTACAACCAAATTGTACCTCATGTAAATCAGATATCATATTACTTTGGATCTGAATTCCACATAAACAACGAGCTAAGATAATTTTATAATAATAATAATCCTACCAATAATCAAAAAGCAGTTAAAGGAGCTGTTATATTTAAAAACTGTAATTTCTCTTTAAATCATTCTAATATAAAACACTCATTCACTCGTAGGAATATTTCTGGTACATTCCCATCCGTCTTAGGATCATTTTTTATCTTACTGTCAGCCTTGGAATTCTTCCATCTCCCATCATCATAAAGCAAACAGAATCGACAAGCAGCTCGGCAGACATCCCAAATGTCCTCTTTCCTGGCTGTCTTCACCAGTGTTGCCCACAGCTTCATCCTTGAACAGCCAAGAAAAAAAAAAAAACAGAGAAGAAATTATAGATGATTGCTTATTAAAATACAAGGTCGCTGCAAGAGCACAGCAGCATGCAGCATTACAGCATATGATCTCAGCTAGTTTGTTTGTGGCGACATGAATAATAAACTTTTCCTTTGGGGAATTGTAAAGATGTGATGACTCCGTTCTCTCCCAACCACTGAGCCTGCCATTTCTGATGTGCACACTTTTTAACTGTAAAGTAATAGGTCTTTGGCAAAGTCTGCCTTTTTTGATGCCTTCAACGTCTCAACAGACAATGCAGCTCCATACACCCTCAAAACATGCACAGTCCTACATCAGTGCAGGCCTTCAGAACAACAATCTTGGAGAATGGCCGCCCAAGCCTCTTCTCTCCTTACCAGAACAGCTTCCAAGTGAGGGACCAGTTCCATTCTCATGGCCAGCTATGAGAAAAGCATGGTTCTGGACAGGTTGTAGACATTGACACAATGGTGAAATCTGTCTTTCACCACAGTGAAAATGACAAAAAGCACCTTCTCTTGAGGACCAAGCCTTCTTAAAGATCATGGAAAGATAATTCTACCAGGATGATTCGAGCAGCTCGGTAGCTCCACTTCCCTTCCGCTCACCAAGATGTCGCCTTCCCAATAAAAAAGGACAAGCATTCTCACGCCTAAACTCACTGTGTCACACACTAAGGAAACGCCCGAAATGAAAAAACACATGGATATCATGCAGGGGTTGTTCGATAAGGGTCATGCAGAGCCAGCTCCACCTTTAAAAGAGGGCGAGGAATGTTGGTATCTTCCCTTCTTTGGCGTATACCATGCTCAGAAGCCAGGCAAGATAAGAGTGGTATTCGACTCGAGCGCCAAATTCCAAGGGGTGTCTTTGAACGACATGCTGCTCACAGGCCGAAACATGAATAAGAGCTTAGTTGGGGGACTTGTCTGCTTCAGGGAAGAGTCAGTGGCAGTGACATGCAGACATTCAACAAATGTTTCATTGCTTCCTGGTGTGACGGGACCACAGGAACTTCCTCCGCAGGACCCTGTTGAGGGAACTTACCAAGGGAATCTGTGAATGGGACGAACCACTTCCAGAAGTACAACTCAGAGAATGGCAGGAGTGGAGGGACTCTCTAAAGCACCTGGAACACATCAGAATCCCAACACCGTACACTACCTTCTCTCTTGCAGACACACAGCATAAGGAGGTCTGCATCTCCTGTGATGCTTCAACACAAGCCATAGCTGCTGTGGCTTATCTAAAAGCTACTGATAGTGAGGGCAAGGCAGAGGTTGCCTTTGTGATTAGGAAGGCCAAGCTTGAGCCAAAACCTGAACCAACCATCCCAAGGCTCAAGTTGTGTGCAGCGGTCCCTGCGGTTGGAATTGCAAGAATGATCAGAGAAGAAATGGACATTCAGTTCAGCAACATACGGTTCTTCTCTGACAGCAGAGTCGTCCTCGGCTACTTACAAGATGAGTGGAGGAGATTCCATGTGTATGTGAGCAACCGAGATAGCTTATATTTAAACACACACACACACATACCTCTCTATGCTGCCAGTGTCACCAGCTTGTCTGGCCAGGTATCCATCCACCTTCTGTAAACATGCAGAGTGATGCTGAGCCTTAGCAGAAAGCTGAGCCGCTGGTCCTGATGCAAGACTGCTGACAGGAACTAGAGAATAGATGAAGAAGTCACATTTCATTAATACTGTTGGAGAAACTTCATTTTCATAGAAAATGTATCAATTCAGGTTTAAGGCTATCGTGCAACAGAATGACTATTTTTGTAATGCATAACTTCTCATTCCGAAATGATTGTTTATAATTTATAGAGCATGGTTGTAAAAAATGCACACTCTTATGCATAGTGAGAATGAATCTTGGGGAAGTTACGTAATCCACCCTTATGATGAACATGCATATGGAAATACAACTGAATAGATGCAATGGAACATTCCTACCTCTTTCAAACAAGAGTATTGACTACAGTGCAAGTTGAATAGACATTTAGGATTATAAAAAACAAACCCATATCCCATATTATTTTTCAGATCCATCTACAGAGTCTGAGATCAAACATTCTCCCCAAGCTCGGGAGCCCTCCTGCTCCATGATCCACTGCACACAGTGGATTGGAGCTTCAGAGACATCACACACAACCTTGCAACAAAGTGTAATTCCAACACAGAGAAACTTTACGTCCAGTCTTTGAGACCAAGGAACACATTTGCATATGGGACGGTGTACACCAATATAGCTTTGTAACATTCATTCAGTTTTCACTCATAATCTGCATGTAATCTGCTTTCCTGAGACACCAGCTCATGACTCAGTGCAGACGGCTGCCTTCCAGGTACATTATGTGAATGAAGGTCACCTATAAGCCAAAGAACACCTACGATACAATTTGAATATTCATTAATTTATAGTATCTCCTGATCTGCAGCCTTATGTGTCATTTTTTACTGCTGCTGTGCAAAAGCTTCATGTGCAAGAGCTAACAAATTTTCACTATTGCTGTGCCTTTGGGGTCAGTTATTCACTTCAGAGACATTTGAGTTGAGGATGCCAGTTCTTTTGTAAGAGATTTTTTCATTGTTCCCTTAAGTATTGATGCATAAAGGAGAAATGTACACCTTATTGCAGGCAGAATTTATCTCACATCAGGTATCTGGGGTATATTCTTCCAGAAAAGTAAGAGAGAAGAGAAGTGCATGCAAATAAGAGATGAGTTAACAGAATTTCATTGTGTCTTTGTGAAATTTTAAAGTAAACGGGAGAAATCTTTACTTTTTGAGAAGTTCTCTCCGCCCAGCACAATGTGGAAATCATCATTGCCCAAAAGGAAACCAACAGCAACCAGAATGGGACGAATCTTTGTCTTATCTTGGGGTTGCTTGTACCTGGCCTGAGAAAGAAAGCGAAAGGACAGGATGTCAAAATCAATTTGTCACCCAGTTAACTTACACTCCTCTGCTGTACTCACTACTACAGCCCCAAGAACTGCAGGAGAACACAAGTTATAATCATCATTTTATGAGGCATAATATTCACACTTATATATGTCTCATTGAAATCAGCTATAGCATTTATAGTTGATTTCAACATCCACAAATCATGCAACAGTAGATTCCTCTTCTCCTTTGATTGTCCCTGTGATTTCAAATGCAGCTTGTTAAAATTTTACAATATCAAACTGTTTGAAGCAAAACGGTAAACCTGCTGCAGAAGCTTAGCGGCTTTATCCTCGGTCTGGGAGGGTGTTTGGTTGAGTGTCCCTGTGCGGTGCAAAGCCGACGACAGGCGTTGACTTTGGGTCCCGTTATCCAGCATAATGGTTTTCTGAAGGTGAGTCAAAGAGGCCTCAAGGCGTCCCTCCTCCTCTTCTATCACAGCAAGCTCTGAGTGGACTTGGCAGCGCATCTCCAGCAATGAACTGTGAAAGTAAAACAAAGATTCACTTTGACAATAGAGTAATATATCATGAAAGTAGGAAGATGTGAATTCTAAATTCATCTACTTATGTGGTTTTGAAAAATAACTAAATGTCATCATAAGAGCATTTATCGAGATCTAAATCATATAGACATTTAAATAAATATATGGTTTGTACACAAAGCATGAAAGTAATAACTGTAAAAACATGTATACAATATATGCAGGTGCTGCACCTTACAATATTTGCACTACTTTTGTATTTTTATATTCTATTTCATTTTTTAAATATTTCATATTAAATTTTTATTGTCTGTCTAAAGGGGGGCCTGGGACTCAAGCATTTCATTGCCAGTAACTGCTTAATGTAATTGTTGTGCATATGACAATAAAAGCCTTGGACCTTAAAAACCCTTGAACCTTATGAAGATTTAACAATGTTGGAACAGTTCAAGAGCTCATTGCCTGCTCATTTGGCTACTTATGCCAATCAGACAAAGGTGAAGACAGCATCAGCAGCTGCAGTGATGGTTGATGAGTGTGTATTAACACATGCTAGTGGCTCAGTAGTTGGCCATATCCACAGAGATTGACAGCAGAGGGAATCTTTCAGGTTTAGGTCTGATAAGTCTCTAGGTTGCACCTATGAGCCCACTCGTCCAGCTGTGAGGCATGTTCCAGGGACAGATGGAAGGTTTGATCCAGCCAGGATATGTCATGCCTGGAGACTAGTCCATCTAAAGATGTTGAGATGTGGGCACCCTTTGTCTCAGATTGGTTTGTGTCTCTAGATGGTAAGGATAAGAAACCTGTAAAGATTTTGCGGGACACTGGGTCTAATGAGAGTTTCATTGTGAGACATTACAATCCATACTGCTAGAGGTGGAACATCTTCTGTGCTGGGTGTTGGTCTGGTTCTCCTGTGGGTTCCCTCTCATCAATTGCACTTTTTCTCTGTTTTTATTTGTGGAGAAGTTGAAATGGCTGTCCATCCCCAGCTGCCAGTTAATGGTATAGATATTATTCTAGGGAATTACTTGGCTGGTTCAAGGGTTTGGAAACATTTTCCACCTCTTGTATGTGAATTCACCTTTGCATGTATCTAAGGAGCCAGATGAGTGTGCTAAGCAGCTCCCTAAAGTGTTTTCTTCCTGTGCAGTAACAAGAGCGAGGAGTAAGGCTAAGTTAGAACAGTCTGAAGTGTCTGAGCAGATCTCATTTTCCCAGGTAGAAGACCAGTCTGAGGGAAAGCAACAGTTAAAATTGTTCCCTATTCCATTGCCATCACTGTCTAGAGAAGGATGTATGAAAGAGCAAGTGGCAGATCTCACACTGAAACCCTTGTTTGAATTTATCTGTCCAGAGATTGAGCTCAAGACTGCTCCTAGTGGCTATTTTTTGAATAAATGGATTACTGTTAAGGAAGTGGGCTAGGATAGTTACTGGTGTGGAGGTAGACAGTGTTGTTCAGGTTGTAGTGCCTTCTAAGTTTAGAGATATTGTGTTGAGCACATCATATGATGGCGTGGCAGGCCATCTTGGGGTAAAGGAAACCTATGACAAAGTGCTGCATCATTTCTTTTGGCCTCAACTTAAAAGAGATGTATTAAGGTATTGTAAAACTTGCAACACTTGTCAGTTGACTGGAAAGCCCAATCAACAGATTAAGCCAGCTCCATTGTATCCAATTCCAGTGGCTGAGAAGCCATTTGAATATTTGTTGCTTGATTGTGTTGGTCCTCTTCAAACTGGGAACAAGTACGTATTGACAATCATATGTAACAGTACTCGCTATCCTGCGGCTTTCCCGTTGCGCTTCATTAAGACTAAGCCTGTACTGAAAGCACTGACTTCTTTTATTACTACCTTTGGTGTAAAAGGCTATTGGCAGGTACCACTAACAGCAATAGCCAAAGATATTTCATCTTTTGTCACACCATGCGGGTTGTTCTTCTCTTCTGTCATGGCTGAGGAACACTCCAGCTACATTTCAGCGCCTTGTGAATAAGGATTTAGCTGGTATGACAGGGTGTGCAGCTTATTGGGATGATGCAGTGGTGTTCAGTGACACATGGACAGCCCATGTTCAGTGTCTTGAGTGCAGTGTTTGACCGGTTGGCAGATGCAAAGTTAACAATCAGTTTAGCAAAGTGTGAGTTTGCCAAAGCGACTAACTTATCTGGGGAAGGTTGTAAGACAGGTTAAAGTTTGTCCTTTGCAGGCAAAGGTGGACATCTTTGATAAATATCCAATGCTCTCATGCAGAAAAAAATGAATGCGGTTCCTAGGGTTAGTGGGGGATTACCGCAGTTTTTGCCACAACTTTTCAACAGTGGTTGCTCCACTGACTAACCTATTGGGTAAAAAGACTCCCTTTGTCTGGTCTCCCTACTGTCAGGCTGTGTTTGACAAGATGAGGTAAATGATTTGTTCTGCTCCTGATCCTGATTTTTAACAACCTTTTAAGATACAGGTGGATGCAAGCGAAATTGGTGCTGGGGCTGTCCTTTTGCAGGACAGGAAAGGGGGCACTGAACATCATGTCTGTTACTCTTCAAGTTTAATCATAACCAGTTAAACTATTCAGTTTTAAGAAGGAGACCCTTGAATTGATGTGGCCAGATCAACGCCAGGGACTATTTATACAGATCATAACCCCTTAACATTCATGTCAAGTATGCAAAATGGTAATCAGAGACTTAGGCTTTGGTTGCTGTTTCTTCAACCATATAAACTTGATGTTCGCCATATTAAAGGTCAGGAAAATGTAATGGCAGACGCACTCTCTAGAGCACCATGTTGATGTCTGCGAAGACCCTATTAGTGGGGGTCTTTGTTTTATGGGGGGATGTGATGGCCTCTCAAATGAGCTGGGCATAACATACCTCCTCCATCATTAGTCCTATATATGTATGATAACATGTTTTTCTTATATGTACATTGTCTGTATAGCAACTCTGTTTCATTATCAGAAGTCTGAGGAAGAGCTTGTGATCTAAACGTCACTGGCAAATAAACAACACAACAGGAGCTTTATGTCTGCAGATCTTTTCTTTTTCAAACACTGTAAGATTAAGCCGTGACAATGAAGTAACATGAATTTGAAGAAGGGAACCTTTGTGTGTCTTCCAGTACTCGGGCGATATTGAGCAGTGGTGTTCTGATGTGTTTCCTGAGATTGTGCTGCAGGAGGGGCAGGCAAAATCTCCACAGGGTCGTGCAAACCACCTGCACAGCCTGAGCGTAGCCCTCTCTCACTGCACTCTGCAGCAACTGATCCAGCCTGTCTATCTCCTTCAGCCAGGCCTGTGGAGTAAGAACAACAGATAAGAACCAGCATCAGTGATAACACAACACTTCGATGTACTGGGAACTTCTATGTACTGGGCAGGTAAACTGGAGTTGGACTGGATAGTGTCAATTTGTAAATGTGACAGTTTTCATACCAAAATCTTTTATGGTATAAAATGAGATAATCCTGATCTTACATCCCTCCCCAAAAATCAAAAACATAAACTAACATTAGCATCTAGTAAGGTGATATTACGACAATTGAAATTCTGGAACTGATTGATAAAGTGCATCTTGTTTCTATGAGCAGGGACGCTTATCCAAGTATTTTTGAATTGACTGCCTTTAAATAATTAGATTACAGAAATATTATTGGACAATTAATCAAGCCTCTGCCATTGGGTTCACTGCCTGCATTATAACGTGGGGTGGAAACACATGGCTGATAATTCATGTATGATCAAGCACCTCCATGTTGGCTTTGGAATAGTCATTTATCTTCGCCTTTTTCTTTAGGAGGTTGATTTCACTGTTGATACATTCCATTATTACGCGTTGGCCAACACTCTGAAAGAGACAAACACATATGATTTCAGACGTCAGCATGAGGGCAGTACATGAAAAGAAAAACATGCTAGAAACTATTAATTCAGAATTTATGCCAAAACATCTTGCACATGCAAATTTGCCAATTATATTATCATTTCACCTTATTTCCCGAAGAGAAAAAGGACAAAATTCTAAAAAAGCTGCAGACTCCTTTCTGTGAAATAAATTCTATCTTTGCAGAGGAAAATCTAAAAAATGCAGCAACCGCTTTAGGTCTTAGGCATGAGCTCAGCTAATTAATCCAATCTATTGTCAGGCGCCTACTTAAGAGGGATGTCAAAGTCCATGCATAAATTTGCAAGTGTTTATAGTATGTACAGTTATAGCAGTGAGCAATGCTACTGCCGGAGGTTTGAAGAGAATATCGGACACTCACAGCCTCTCTCGCCGACTTCAGCTCTTTCAAACAGTCGGCAGCTACTTTCTGATGCTTCACTTGCAAGGCCAGCAGAGCCAACTCCAGGAGGTAGGCAACTCTGCAAATCCCAGATAAAACATAATTTATACAATTCACACTTCAGTCCAGTAATCTGAGTCGGGTACTGCCCTTGTGATTTCCATATGTGGGTTTATGGTGTTGGGAGGTTTAGGAACAGAACAAGGGAAAGCTTGTTGGGTAGGTAATTTGATCAAGACACTTTGGGTCACAGACCTGTCAGCTGGTTGGATGGGGATTGCGCTCTGAAGAGCACTGAGGTTCTTGGGCGCAGAGGATGCTTTCGTACAATCAGCCAGGAGACGGAAAATCTCCTCAAGCTCGACAGAATCCTCGTTCGTCAGCTTGTCATCATTTATTTCTTTCAATCTGCTACAAACAACAGCAAACATATGAGAGCATGCACGATTATGTATTTTCAAGTACCCACTAATAAGCTAAAACCTAACAGTGCATAAATCTGAGGCAAAAATAACCTATATGATGCTGACGATGTCCGAGTCTGGCTGAGTCACGCTGTCAATGTTAATAGCTAAGCTGAGAAGGCATAAAGAGCTCTGACATGTTGTGTACATGCCTGGAGAAATATGGGGGCTGGGTTTGTTTTTAAGTAGCCATGGTGCAATTCTATTCATGTACACAGGTAGCTTAAAAAAAGTCTGGGTCCACTATGGGATGCCACAGGGGCTGAGAGCCAGTGGATCACTGGACTATTGACCCAGGCTTAATGTTTCAAAGCTCCCCAGTTAGCTGAAGGTATTAAAGCTTCACGATCAGAAAACACATCAATTTACCTCTGTTAAGTACAAAAGCTAGCTTTAGTACTTAACAGAGGGAAATTGATGTATATATATATATATATATATATATATATATATATGGATCCTGTCCTTGATCATTCATTAGAGATTCATGTTATGGGTCAACTTGTATATATTATTAACTGGAAGAAGTAAAGAAAGTAAACATACAGTCAATCAATGTAGCACATGCTTTCAAACACAGTCTTGGCTCCTCAACTGTTAGAAAAGCAAACATCATTAAATCAGATCAAGAGCTGCTTTTCTTGAACAACTCAGGCTACAGTAATACTTGAATATCTTAGCTAGAGATGGAAGCTCCTTTCATCATGACAACTAAAAGTAAAAAAAAATATTTCTCAAGTATAATCCTGCAGAGCCAAAATCAAGAAAGTGGACTTACTTTTTAAATTCTTGTAATTTGTAAATGACTGCTAAGTTGATATCCTTCCTGCTCATCTCACTGATGACATCACCCTCTGTCAGTTTGTGTTGAACCTTGGAAAAGAATAGTAAGAGTAGATGCCACACTTAATTTATCACTCGAAAATGTTTAACTAAAATGTCTATTGTGTCTGAGATGAAACTTAATTAACTGCATGAAAATTCGTCCAAAGATTCATTTCTAGACTAGACTCTAGAAAAAGGGTAGATTTTAGAAATACTCTTAGGGAGAAGGTTAAAACACTGATTTCAGATACATTGAAATATTAAGTGCTCTTTTTCTGGGATAACACATTTTGTCTATGATTTATGAGATAGAAATATCACACCAAAAGTTAATTAACTGCATAAAAGGTTTATGTCACAGATGGGAATACTAAACTCTCTTTCTTGTTACTCACTGGCTCATAAAATGAACTTTGTAACTTTGTTGACAAGAAATTATGTTTACCATTAACATAAAGAGTCTTGGATAAAGATGTGGGGCTTGAGACTTGATCAATTCTTCTGTAGTTTTGGCAAGATCTGCAGCCTCCTCTACTTTCCCTGAGTCGACCAGACATTTAATCAGGTGCCTGAATAGAAACAGAGAGAAAAAGAAAAAAGAAACCTCCTAAAAGTCAGTCAAAACTGAAGAAGCCTCTTGGATGAGTGGTGAAACACAAACAAATCCAAAAGACTTGTGACAGTTGATTGTTAAAGACAATAAAAATATCTGCTGCATGTGGAAATATGGTGCCGCAAGTTTGATTATAGTCTCCACAGGTAACCTCACTTACCAGATGATTATTTTTGAGAAATCCAGCTTTTATAACTGTATGTACACCTCACTACTGTACATCCAGCATTGATTCAAATGTTTTTGTAGAAACTGAAAGGTATTTCTAATATTTTGGTAGCAAAGACAATGCACTGCATTATTGTAACAGCATGGTGAGATTTGAAAGGAAGTCATAATGTGGTGAGTCCCTCCCTTTCTTATTGTGCTCAGTTATACATTTAGGTCACGCAGATGTGCTGTCTCAAATCCAATTAATACCCCCTGCTGGCTGTAATACTGACATGATACTCTACATGACTGGTCGATAGAGTCTCTGAACAACAATAATAATAATATTTACTTTGTTTGCACTTTTCTTAGAACAAGTAACAAAGTGCTTTACAACAAACAATATGAAACAATCAGAGTAAAAAAATAAAATAAAGATACACATAAATACACACAAAAGTCATAGACATCTTGCAATAAAAAAAGAAAACATTTAGAGATGTATCTTAAGAAGAGGTATAAAACAATTCTGCTAGTCTAATCACAGATTGTTTCAGCGTGTAGGCATCACCACGGCACAGGCTCTAACACCTTTGATTTTCAGGCTAGATTTTGGAATGGCTAGCAACGCCTTACCAGAGGATCTCAGACTGGCTGGCTCATAGGACTGTGTTAAAAGCTGAGTGGCAGCATTCTGGACTAACTGTAGATGGTGGATTGATTTCTGTGTAAGACCACTGTAGGGAAAAGGCATGTGTGGGTGATTCCTGCCGACCTCTCCATTCTGTCAATGAGTATGTGGTGGCCTACAGTATTGAAAGCAGTGCTGAGATCCAAAAGAACAAGGATGGAGGATTTACCAGCATCTTCAACAGAAGGTAATTGCAGACTTTCAGAAGAAGGGTTTCTGTACTGTGGAGGGACGGAAAACCAGATTGGAATGTTTCAAATTAGTTATTGTCTGTCAGGTGCGCCACTACAAACAGCGAACAAAGATAAGACTAACATTTGGCCAGGAGCTTTCAGAGCAGATTATGATTAGACACTAAATTTAAATGAGGAAAAAGGCAGCCCATTAACTGTAGAGCCATAAAGCTGTGGTTATAAATTAACTGCTGCTTAATTAACCCCATGTCATGTCTGAATCCAGCATGACGTTAGACAGAATCAGGACTGGACTTATACATGAGAGGGAAATAAGAGAGCATTGTGGGGTCACTTGCATCATGAGTTCAGCCCTCCAGCTGCAGTCTTGGTCCGCCACCTCCTCCAGACTTTGCACCACCTGCCTAAGCGAGGGAACCAGGTGGTGGCACCGCCCTGGCTGCAGGAGAGGGTACACTGTCTGGAAATACAGCACTGAAGCATTGAACACCATGAAGTGGAATCTGCAAGACATGAAGCACATGAAGAAGGAATAAACACACAGAAAACTGAATTATTTAGATGATGCACATGCAAGCCATTTCATCCATTAAACTCAATTCAGAGCAAGTGTCAGAGCTGTATGGAGCCACCCTGTGAATTGCAAATGTGTGTGGATTAACTATCATCCAATGAGCCACAGGAGAGCCCCCCGTATTAGCCCTTCTATGTAAAATAAGATATATTTATGAATTCAAGGCCCTATTTAAGAGAAAATTGTGCGAACAGACTGTTTGAGTGCTGCTAATTTATTCACCAGAGAATGTGTTGTGCTCTAGTCTGGGATGTATTAGATATGTATTCCCTCTGGTGGTAATTTGGATTGCTCATTCAGCCCTTTTATTGACAGCTTATGAGTTCATTAGCAACGAGATTCACAGCTGATTGCTCGCAAAGGCTAAGCCAGTATCTCTCTTGCAATTTCTATTATTACGTCAATATTAATCGCTACTTTTAACCTGCTCAAAGATACTTCCTGTGAGCTGTTAAAATAAAAGGAATGTAGGCTAAATCATCACCACTTCTGAATGGAAGGTCAGAGCGAAGCATGAAGAATCATGTCTTATGTCAGCATGACCCAGAATGTTTCTGTGCAGCTACTGAACCTTCACAACCTAAAACATTTCACTTTTCTGTACTTTTTTCTGGTGCAATTGGCGAACAATATCAGAGATGCTGCATAGGGCATATATTGGTCAACCTCGTGACACTGTTAGAACAAAGCATACAAGCATACTTCTGAGAGATTACGTACCTTGGTTCGTGCTTTGAAATTTCAATTGCTTTAAGAAAATATGCCACAGCCTCCTCAAAGTCTTCCTAAAATAGAAAGAAATGCAGAGGGGAAGGGAGCAGTGTCACAGCATACAAACATAAATATCACAAAAACTTGCAAGTGCAACAACTGTGAAAATACAAAGGAAAACATGCCTTAAAGGCTGAAACCACAAGAGTCTGTTTACAAAGCTAAGATGTCTGCATCATTTCTAGTTCATATAAGTACAATGTATCTCTACAACAATTGTGTATATGTGTACACCTCATTGACACAGACACACAAAGACACTCAACCCCCTTGAGGTGATGTGTCCAATTTACTGTGCTCACCAAGCTCCCAGTGGTCGGCGGAGACTTCAGCTGGCCCTGGCAGAGGTAAGCTCGACACAGAAATTGATTAGCAGGCGGATTCTCTTCAAAGTACATCTTTAGACACGCTGTGCTTATCTCCAAACAACCCAGCTGAAAACACAGAGCAAGGGACACACAGAGACCAAACCAAATAAATATTTTAACCTCATGTCACCAGCATCTCTATGTTTGATGCATCCTTAAAACTATTTAAGGATGTAAGATGCATGTTTATGTTATGCATGACAAACTGAATTAAATGCAGGCTGCTGTCCCAGATTATGTCAGTGCTGTGTTATATAATGTCTCCTGCTCACAGTCTTATAAATTTACACAGCGTCATTTTCATTCAGGAATTGCAGCGCTGCCATGGGAAGTAATCCTGTAACAGAAATTTTAACAGTAAACTGCAAGATTTTCGTTGTGTTGTGATCATGTTTTTTCTCCTACTCATAAAACAAGTCAAACAGAACAGTTCTGAACTTTGGATCATGTGTTAGGATGGTGGAGGCGTCTTTAAGCAACAGGAATATTCATGCTTCTCAAGAACACTGAAGAATAAGAGATGATTTGATGATTCGCCACCAAAACACAAGTTTGTTGTATACTGCGTTCAGATCCTGAGTTCGCAAGTGCTCAGGCCCGCACTGTGCTGCTTTGTAGCCCTACTTCAAATATTTTTCCCTTGCCCTAGGACACTTTCATTATTATTCCCTACTGGGAGAGTAGTTAAGACATAGCAAATTAAAGTGACTGCATGAAAACAGTGACATAATGACATCTGTCATCAAGCTCTCTGTAGAAGGGTTCTGCAGAGGTTTCATTTCCATGATTTTCTACAACAGTAACTGTATTGTCGAAAAAAACCTATAAATAAAGTAGTTTTATTTTGACAAACCCGATAAATTGTCTCCGCATGCCAGTAATGTCAAACATAATTCAGCACGTCACCTCAGTAGCAGCCATTTACTGAGACAAGCATTTTTCCACAATTTTCACAGTCAGATGCAAATCATCTTTTATTCTTGCGGGCTGCTTGAAGCATCATGTCTTGTGTGACATCTCAGCAGGTGTGAAATCCTCACAACATGAAAACACTCCTCACAGCAATTGGAGGGAAGGATTGTAGCCACACTCATAGCATATTAGTCATACAGAAAGTTTTAGCTTTAGAGTTTGTATTGTATTGTAATTTTATGTTTTGTATATTGCTATTTAATTATCTTTTGGGTGTGTATTAGCCATTACTGTTTCGACCACATACTTTTACATCTCACTCATGTAGTTTGTATTTGTATGTTGTGTGAAATAAACAAATCTAAGCTAAGCTGAACTGTACAAAACTCATGACATTGTGCCATTTAGATGTTATGCTGATATGCTAATAGTCATGACATTATCATCCATTTATTCATACAATATAGGTGTTCAGATGATTATGATTGATTTGATGAAAGCAACGTGTTTAAGGACAGACGTTATTAAGGAGGCTGCAATCACATTTCACATTCTTTGAGTGACTCAACCAACTGCAGGATAAGGTGATAGCAAAATATACCTCTCTACCTGACCCCCCTAGACCAGTTTGTACCAGCCAAGATCATAGATCAGTGTAAAAATGAGTTCCAGGTCGATGGTAAAGTTTATTATTTACCAAAAGTCAGTTTTAGCAAAATAAAATGTATAAATGTATTCTTCAAAAGTGTATAAAGACAATAATATAGACGCTAGTTTAAAAAGAAAGGGCAATAGCTTTACATTTGGATTTCAGGAATATAAACTGATTAAGATGCAGCTTAGAGTTCTAAATAAATTCAGCATTGGCAATAACAAGAGCAAGAGTTGGATCTTAAACTTACTACACATATGTATATTGGAACAATAGTTAGAATCTCATAAGGCTGTGCATGACATTACTAGAACACTGTGACTTTAAATTTCCTAATTAAAAAAAAAAGATTGCTTGTATTTCTGAATATCTCTTTAAAGGAAACCATTGTCTCTTAAAATCAAGGCTGAAGTCATGAACTTTGTGGGGGGACCACAATCTCACAACTCATTATTTAACACACAATATGATTTTTCATAAATTTTGTTATTTAAAACAGTGTTTCAACTGCGGTTACTTTTTTGCTTGTTGTCATAGCATAGAGGGAGGCAGTAGTTCAGTCCACAGCGACTTGGCTTGGGAACCGGAGGGTGGCCGGTTCAAGTCCAGCATGGACAGAAGTTGGAGAGGTGCCAGTACATCTCCTGGGCACTGCCGAGGTGCCCTTGAGCAAGGCACCGAACCCCCCAATTGCTCCCTGGGCCAAATTGCCCATGTTTGCATGTTGCATGCTGTGTGTGGGACCATACAGAGGAATCTTAATAACAGTTTTATTATTATGTATATAGTTTACAATTCAGTTTATTGGGGGTGGGGGGCAATTTGCCCATGTTATGACACTACCCTGCTTAATATTAATAATAATAATAATATATCTACAACAGTGTCCTCAGCCACACACATTGCTGTGCTGATTCAGAACATATAAATCGTGGATACGGCCCTGCTGATCGTGAGGAACATCACCGCTGCCTGACTGTCTCACCTGTAGAGAAACCTCCGCACAAACCACGCACAACTCCGGGGCGATGCGTGGAGTGTGTCCGCTGGCTCCAGCTGCTGTCGCGTCCCTGATAAGACGGTAGGCCGACTGCAGAGCTCCAGAGTCTGTAAACACCACACACACAGTGAGCATGGCTTCCACCGCTCCGTACATCTGTCTCTACTCCTGAATCACTGCACAGCGAACCTTGCTGCTCCTCTGCCTGGCTGAGATACTGTCGAATATCCAGCTCCATGTCTGTGAAGGTTCATTAGCTCGTCCGTGTGTTTCTGTACCTGTCAGCTAACGTTAGCAGGCAGGTTAGCTAAAGTTAGCGCGGTATACTCCCACTAAAACTGTACGTGTTTGAAACAACACGTCAACACTCTGTCAAACGAGCACAACAACTATACGACAGTTCGTTAGGTTTGGTGTTGATGCATCAGTTTGTTGAATGAAGTAATGAGCTAAGAAAGAACTGACAGAAATGTTGTACTTAACTATTACACCACCCGCGTGTACTGTTAGGAAGCGTTACTAGGCAACCGGAGACCGGGCATGGACTACGGTAACTGTGAGGGACAAAGGGTCAACACTGTGACACTTTATTCATATAAATAAATACAGTCTAATGACACAATATCCACATTAAATAACACGAACCCTGACCACTTCATATATATATATATATATATATATATATATATACATATTATACTATATATACATATACAAAATATATATACATTTCACAACACTGCCTGATATTTAAATCTGAAACATCCCATTGAAGATTTCATATAAATGTAAAAATCTAATTCAATTTCGTTGACATTAATGTTTTTGTTGGAGCTACATTTTACATATATATTGATATTATTTTGAAAAGTTGTGAACTTAGATCTGAAGATTGAGTCGACTGTTTATTAGACCTCTGAAATATCGGACATGGTAAAGCAAAGCATTCAAGTATATACAAACAACTGATGTGAAGAGATATAAAGCTTATTCAGTTTCATGTTATTGAAAAAACTGATGGTTGATCATAGCTCACTTATACAGTGTCAGAAAGAAAGCTGTGACCAGCACCACCACAGGCCAAGCAACCCGCTCATTCCAAAACAAGCAAGTTTAGAATGGACGCTGCACAAGCAAACAGAGGACAGAGGACAGCTTTCTCTCTCTTTCTTTTTCTCTCTCTCTCTCTCTCTCCTTCTATCATACTCACACACACACGTACAAAATGCACCTCTCCATGCTTGTGGTCCCGGCGCTTCTTAACTTCAAAGTGCATCATTAGGAATCGGGCCAGTCAGTGTGCAAATATAATTTACTTGGTCAAACTAAAATGCGGCTGCTGATGTGACAGGGGACAAAGTTGTCAGGCAAAGCAAACTGCAGAGGCTCTCTCTGCATAATGGAGTCAGTGGTTCCTAGATTGAGGTTTAATTGACAGGATACCTGCCAGTATTTCAAAGCATTATAGATAGCTCTTCACTGGCCCTCGAGCACATTTGTTAAGCAGTTCATTGTGGGATTTGTCTAAAAATACACATAAAGAGAATATTCACCCTTTGGAAGGCTTTAAATGTGGAATATATTTATTTATTTCCTGCAAGAGATTTTTTTTTCTCTCTGTCACTTGACCTACTTAATGGTTTGAGTTGTTGCTTTTATTTGTTGTTTAGAATTCCTGTCATATCATGCAGTACTTTGAAATATAGATGTGAATAAAAGATAAAAGAGGTAATTTAGAGAAAACTCTGCACTGGGCCTGGTGTGATTTGGTCCAGGGGTAGCTACTCATACAAATTCATGTTGAAGGAGTGTAAAATAAGCTCTTTGTGTCATACCTGCAGTGACACACTCTCACAACACACCCTCATTCAGTCAGTGAATATCTAACAAGACTCTGACCAAACATGCAATCTACTCTCTTAAACTAAAGCCCTGAATAAGTTGTATGTTTTCCTGTCAGTGATATAATCAATTCATAGCAAATTAGGCTGTGGCTGGCTTCACAGATCCTGTAGCCAGGCAATCTGGCCGACACAGATGGTGCTGTATGATGATGAATAGGCTCTTAAGATGCTGTGTTTGTTCAGCCAGTGCGTTACAACAATGCACCTGTCCTGCTCTATAGCTTACAGGAATCTTTAGTGACGTGTTACAATCCTCTGCCTAATTCTAATTGATGCATTGCTGTAATCTCAGTAAATTTCAATTAAAGACAAAAAAAACAAAGCTTCATTATGTGATGTCAAATGCGAAACCTCATTCGCAGTGGTAATGTTGAGATAAATGAGCTAATAAAAGGTTGTCCAATATCCCAGGTTAAAAAACTACCGAGTATATAATTTAATTCACTACAACTGGAGTTGCAAAAATGCCTCATATTCACAAAGAAAATACTTAACTACAGGATTACATGAATACCAAGTCTAGACAGTTTTCTTAGTTTATTTTAAATAACCGAAGATTGAGTTTAAGTACACTAAAATGAATAGACCTTAAGCTCCAGTTTGGACTCAGTAGCCGATTTTAGTTCCATTCAGCTTCTGTTTACAAACCGACACAAATACTATTTTGCTGAAATGCTGCAAGTCACAGTCTCTTATAAAAAGTAGAAAGGAAATTCAATTGCCATGAAGCGATGGCCCATATGTGCGAGTTATCTTGGCCTGTGTGCACAGACTCTGGCCACGTCTAATGAGAATACAAGCACATGACACCGTCTTGTAATCAGCACTGATGCACACAAAGGTGGAGAACAAAGATAAACAGTGTACCACCAGTAGTGAAATCACATTAAACATGAACCCAGCATTTTACTGAAGATTAATGGAAACAAAAGCCCTGAAGACACACTCATGTCGAGAGGCTCATTGTGAACATTATTTCTAATGATTATGATGTGTCAGAACTGATTTATTAGCTTGCGTTTTCTTAATTCATGGGCTTTAAAGTTACAATGAGGCTATTTTCTACGGATAATAATGATGAGAGGATAATCCTCAAACAATACAGATTATATTTACAGCAGCTAGTAGTTACTACACTCTCTACTCTAAACATTTCTGCCCAGTGTATAGGGAAAAACGATATCCTATTTATGCATTGAAGTTATGATCGACTGGATTTCCCTTTCATTAAAAAATAAGCATTTACATATCAAAAAGTCTATAAAAGTATTTGTTTGCATCAAGCTCTGCACATGCACATTTCACCTCTCATCCATAATCCATCAAAGTCAATGTGTTGAGCAGACTTCTTTGCTTCATCTCCCCCCTGACGGGATAACTCTCTCGGACATGATCCCCACAATACCAGCATATCCTTAAGACGTGAAATCGGCAGGATCAAATCAATTATTCATCAATTCTCAAATTGATATCAATAATTCAATATTTTGCACATGTGAATTCCACATACTGAAGAATGGCAGCAGCCAAACAGTGATCGCATCAGCTCAGATTTATCTCTGCACAAACATGCAATTCTCATCACTATATGGAAACATATAGAATTACTAAAAGTTTTGCTTTTGTGTTCAGAGCCAAAACACTTCATTTATGATTAAAGACATTTTCTTCATGTATATGTTTATAGGAAAATGTACAATAAACATAACTGAGAAATAGCCTTTCATTAAGATTAAGACTACTTTGAACTGAGAACTTCTGTGTTAACTAACATTGCATTAATTCGATGTGAGGCACAATGTGTACTGCTTCTAGTGCCGTGGTTTAAATTGGTTATAATTAACTCCAATCAAGTGAGTATTGCTTTGCTGCTTATCTCATGCAATAAGATCTTTAAACAGAAATTTTAAATCAAATTTCCACCTATGTGAGTTGTATATCGCTATAAGTCTTTTTTGCACCTCTGTGACATCTGCAACAATAATAATAATAATTGTTTTATTTACTGCTTTTCCACACAAAGCATAAAGTGTAGCCCAACAGAAAACAAATGGTTGAAATACATAAATAATAACACTAATAATGATCATGATGAATAGAGATAAAAGACCAATAATAGCCTGGCTCCCAAGTGAATTCAGGAATATGCCTTCTGAGAAAAGAATGTTTTTAGCTGAGAATTAAAAGAAGACACAGACAGACAGCCTATATTTCCTCAGGCAATTCATTCCAGAGCCTTGGGGCCCTGATGACAAATGCTCTTTCCCCCTTACTTTTCAGCCTAGATTCAGGAAGTGACAGCAGAACCTTGCTAAAGGAAAAGTCTGACACAGCTCCTCCTGGACTGGATCTGCTGCCTGATGGGACCTGGCGATGTTAGACTCAAAGCACTGCTTCAAAACCCTTCATCGGACACCTGAGCCCAGAGGCGAGCAGCGCTGTAACCAAGGAAGGGAGCAGGAGGAGAGACCATGGCCTCTGCACAGACTGTTTAAACAGGTAGTTAGAACCGGCAGCAGCACCAGAGCTTCCATCATCTTCAGCTGCAGGTTAATACTCGTAAACAAATTCAGGAAGAACACAACACTGGTCTGCAATGAATCCGCACAACACGTATAAGCAGGAGTCAATCTGTGCAGACTTTTGAGCAGATGTTGGCGTCCAAAATTCACTATGTTTTTGCTGAGAAAGCTCATGTTGAGCTGGGTTAAATTACTTTCTGAAGAGCTAAAGCCCCCTCTTTAAAAACAGACATACACTAACAACAGTCATTGATTGGTTAAGAAGCCCCAGGCTAAATTTTTAAAGCCCATCCCAAGAGTCCATTTCAAATCCTTTCACACAGTTAACAATTTATTAATGTGAAATTAACTGGCTGTCCAAACAAAAATATGTCAGACTATAATGTTCTCATCCTGACTGATTTCATTCACACTTCAGTATATATTAATATTAATTTCCTTTAAGGAATGAGGTTTTCTATTAGATGGGGTAATTAGTGTCGTGAGTCATGCTGTAGACCATTTGCATGCATTTGTTACACCTCATAGCAATTTTGGCGCAGATCACCCCCCTTCCTACATAACAATGAGTCATTATGAGCAATAAATCATTTCCAGGTTCTTCGCTTGGACATTTGATTCCCTCAAGATTTGTGTAATCCGATTTTGTAACAGTGAGTGGGTTAACGCAGCATCTCCTCCAAATGTGTACCCAGCAGTTTATCTGCAGCGTACTCATCGAGTGTCCTACTTTGTGCACAATACTCATACACACGTTGAGGAAGACTCGGTTTCCTGATCTGCCGGTTTAAAACAGTTTCACATTCGAAAAAATAATCTGGCGTGTCAGAGCTGGACCGTCAGATGAACAGTTTCTTATCTACGTGAGCATGTGTTCGAATGCCTAATTAGGGTATTGACTCACGGCTCACGCTCTCATTGGAGATGACGAGTGTCACTGATTTGTTTAAACATTACCAATGTGGGGATTGGATTTGATGGCACCCCGGATGCATGCTTAGCATTAACTG